GTGCTTCAGCCTACAGTTTAGACCTATTGTCTTAAGTATGACCCTCTGTCCTGCGTAACAGTGAATACCAGCATTATCCTCACTTTAATAAGACTATCAAAATCCTCAGATTAGGCAAAATTGTAATTAATTTTGTCAATAAAGATGTTAATAATAATAATAAGGTTGCTGATACTCAGGCCGCATGGGGCCGGGATGTCCCTGTTGACCTCTAGCTGCTGGCGGAGTTTCGTCTATAATCTGTTTGCTTTACTGTGATGTTTACCGTCCAGGGAAAACTACGTCTGGATCCTCCTCTGAGACCGGAAGACCATCTTGATCTGAATGTGTGCCATGTAACAGTAGTGTTTAAGAACCCTCAACGGTATTATCATCATGAATGTATGTGAGAGAGACGCTGGGCACACCCCCGGCCGTGGCCGTGTTGCCTCACGCCCGACAACACTGTGATGACCACCGAGCATCAGTTACGTCATGTCAGTAGAGACGCCAGCTGGCGTCCCTACTTTACTGCTCTAATCGGCTTATTTCATATATTAGGAAGTTACATACAATTGCATATGATAGCACTGGTATTAAACTATGCAACAATGAAAATAAAGAATAATTATAACTGGTAATTTGTTTATAAAATAGAAGAAATGATCATGTTGTGTTAATTGCACCAGTTAATAGGGTCTTCCTTCAGCATCGTGCCCAACCACTTGGGCTGGACGGTAGAACGACGGCCTCGCTTCATGCAGGTTGGCGTTCAATCTCCGACCATACAAGTGGTTGGGAACCATCCATTTCCCCCGTCCCATCCCAAATCCTTATCCTGACCTCCTTCCAACTACTATCTAGTCGTAATGGCTTGGCACTTTCCCCCTGATAATTCCCTACTCGGGCGTGCACTATGCAGTTTCACGAGCACACAGCACGTCTCAGAACTGAGAGGCTGAGCCAAGTGGGCAGACTAAGGGGGCTCAACACAACCATCTTTTCAGGGTAATCAAAACGCTGTAGAATTACATGCAAGACCTGAGGGTGAGCTAAGTATTCCCTGTGAAAACCTTCGTACTCTTACAGGCGTGTAATCTACCTCAGTACTACACAATGTGTCAAAGTTTTGTCTTATTTTGTATTATTATTTTCTACCACTGACGTGGCTATACATTTACGATGCTAACCAGCATATATACATTTTGGCATGATGTAGGTTAGTGGAGACGGCTTGAGTCAGTCAGCTCTCCCTGGGCCGTGACCTTCTAGCGAGCATGGTGCACCAGGCCACACACACAACAACACTGCGCCCGCACGTGTTCAAGCTTAACAAAGTTGTGAGAGCGATATTTTCACTTCACTTATTGAGCCGACACGACGTATGAGGCAGCCTCTGCTTCTCATACAGTAGACGGTCAGTAGATGTGACCAGTATTATAGTCTAACATATGGTTTCGGTGAAAGACAGCTGTCACACCACAACTCATCCTCCTGTTTAAGTAGTACTTATAGATGAGGACTAGCGTACACATATTGACGTAAAAGGCAATTAGAAAGTAGAAATCGGTACTATTGAATTTGGACAAATCAACCCGTATGACCGAAAATAGACGTAATATGAAAGTGAAAAATAATTGAAAATAAATTTTGGATTTTGTTTTTCCAAAACAGTAAATTGAGGGTCCTCTGGTAGGTTAGGAAGGCAGGAAGTTCTCCTAAGGTTTCAAAACGTCATGAAATCCGTTAATTGAAAGTTTCCTCTCTTAACCTAACCGAGTAAGCCGGAGGACTCAAAATAGAAAACGGGACAGTACGTCACTTTCGTGAGCCGATTTCATTTCAAATTACGTCCATTTTTGGCCATAGCGCCCATACGAGCGAAAAGCGACGTTCTTTTAAGAGGACGGGTTGCACAGACGCCGTCTTGTTAAATCGGCTCTGGTACACAACCTACTCAACCTTAGTCCTGGCTTTGTTGATGTTGACTCTTCCCTTCCTCAGTACATACTTAAATGTTCTGACATTCTTAACAAACGTGATCAGACTTAAGCTTCGCCCCCTCTATCCTCTCTCTCCTTTCTGTCTCTTTCGTTACTAGATTTTTTTCTCTTCGCCATTAGGCTTCTTGCAGTTTTTCTTGATTTCTTCCTCTTATGTTTTTCTAAATTATTTATACCCTTCTCCTATTCTTCTTCCTTTTTTCCTTTCTCTTATTGTTAACCTTTCCTTCACTTTACCTGTTTCTTTGTATTATTACCTTTCTCTTCCTACCTTTTTCTGTTATTCTCTTTCATCCTATTTTCTTTAATTTAGTCTTTCATCTTATTTTTATCATCATCTTTCTCTTTCATTCATCTCCCTTTCCTCTCACTCTCTTCCTTCATATTGTTCATCTCTTCTTTCCATCACATGACTTGATAATGGTTCAGGACGGACCGAAACGTCGTCGTCTCCTCACTTTCTGATGTGTGGTTCGCATATCAATGCCTTGCAAGACCAACATGAAGAAAAAGCGCTACGTGAGACCCACGCCTCCTCAGCGCTGAGTGAGACCCACGCCTCCTCAGCGCTGAGTGAGACCCACGCCTCCCCAGCGCTGAGTGAGACCCACGCCTCCTCACTGCCATTGTTGCGTTATGAACAACGTAGCAAAAGATGGGCAGTGATGTGCACAGTCTCCAGAGCGGCACTGCAAAACCTTAGGAAAAATAGAGCAGAAAGCTGAGGGATAATAAAATCCAAACAACTTTGAGCTACACAGCCAGGAAAGGATGAACAATTGCCAGAGGAATCCTTCTCATGCTGGAATCTGCGGGGATGAACGAGCAGAGATGTGCCGGCTGCCGAGGTGCTGAAGAAAACTATGTTGAATACTTCACCCCCCCAAGATTCTTTTTTTTTACAAGTCAGGGGCATCATCAGACCACAAGAGGTGAGGAAAGAATGATAGAAGATCAAGTCAGTGAATCTATATGCTGGAACACTGCAGTCGCAGTCGACAACCTCAGTTATTATAGACAAACGAGAGGAGGCCGATTGACGGAATCTGTGATTGCTATTGAGTTTGTCTTGGAACGAGTACCCATGGAGATTTGTGATTGAGCAACACCTGAGCAACTGAGCTGCAGCACAAGAGAAGGATATGTTCTGGACCTGAAGTATAATAAATCCAACATTGCTTGAGTAAGAAAAAGCATTTTTGTCAAATAAAGGTACTGTCCTGACTGACTCTACAACGCCAGCATTTACCCGTCACTGTTTAAGGGGAAGTGAGGCACTTTATGCCCGCCTACTAGCTTTGTTGTACCTGTTGCGTCATAATTTGACTATTTTGTCGTTCGAATTTGTTATTGAAACTGGCTTTAAAGTTATGGATACAGATGGCTTCCACAACTGCTTTTTTTTAGTTCATTCCACATGTTGACCACCCGCACAGGCTGCGAGTATTGCCTTACATTTCACCGACTCGCTTGCATTTCCAGCTTCCACTTATGTCCTTGTACCGTCTGCCTCTGTGTGGGGGACCTACCTTGTACCATCTGCCTCTGTGTGGGGGACCTACCTTGTACCGTCTGCCTCTGTGTGGGGGACCTACCGTGTACCGTCTGCCTCTGTGTGGGGGACCTACCTTGTACCGTCTGCCTCTGTGTGGGGGACCTACCTTGTACCGTCTGCCTGTGAGACATGTGACCTACCATGTACCGTCTGTTAGTGTTAATTAAACTCATTTGAATTCAGCTTAAATAATAAAATTAATTATGCAAAAGAAGTTGTGATAATAAAATGTCACTCGTGAAATATTTAAGAAAGACTCAAGAACGTACACCATCATCAAGAACTATTTACAGTGATTCTTCAAGATTGCTGCACTGCCTTGGCATCCTGCTCTATGTCGAAATTGGGTTCATCACTATTGTGAGTTATGAAGGTCACTCTTAGACACTGCATGAATGCTTTCGTCAGTACCTTCGTCGGGAGGCTGATAAGGCCAGGGGTCGTCATTAGCGTCCTTCTGTCTCATCGCCTGCAACTTCCCCTTCACCATTTCCTCCTCCAGTGATAATATCACCAGCCTGGCGGCGTGTTCCTTGGTCCGTTGCTCAGAGTCTTGCTTCAATATGGTCATCCTAAGATGGTGCTCCTCCTGCGCCAGCCTCAGCATCTTCCTGTGCAGTTCTGGACAACAACAGAGGGAGAGAGCGCGGGGCGGCACTCCACCACCTCCTTCCTCGGGCAACATCTCCCTCCCACTTTCTAATTTTGGTTTCTTTATTGCTGGAAATATCTCCTCTGACATTGGATCGTCTCCTGAAGCCAGCGAATGGCAGGCAAAGGAGTTAATCGGACTGACAGCTCCAGACGAGGCGTGTGGAAGACTGACGGCAGCTTGGGAGACATAGCTGGCTGTGACGCTAGATTGTGAAGTGAATGAAGCTGTTTGATTCTGAGAAGCATTAGTTACAGCTAACGAGGATTGTTTGTATGGCGCGGGTAGTGGAGTCTTCAGATGGACCTCGCCAACACTGGGTGGCGAGAACTGCTGCGACTGGATGACACCGGACGCAGGGTGCGGCCGGTCACTGTACTGACTGCCAAAGACACAGTCTGGAAACATCTCTGATGGTGACGTGACCTCGTCAGAAAGCTTGTCGGGAGAGCTTAAGTCATCTCTGGGTTCACTCTTAATATCTACTTCAGTCAGTCCTTCTTTCAGCGACACTTGCATCACCTGAGGACACAACCCATGTAACTAAGCCTCATTCAACCACTCAAAGATTTGAAATACTTCTGTATGCTAGTACTTCAGACTGGTTAATAATAAAATAGTAAAGAAGCCTAAACAAATTCTATTAGTTAAAGCTCTCTGCAGCAAAAATGTTTTGTAATTGGTAGAAACTATAATGTAATTAAGCATTAAGAATTAAGAATTAAGTACAGCCTTAGTCACTATCCTCACAATGCAGTTGTGTAAGTTTTATAGCAATACACAGAATAGACTCAACTCGGCTAAGACTTACCTGTTCAGGAGTTAGAAAGGTGTTTTCGTAGTGCCGGGAGACCTTGGGAGCGTCCTCGCTCATTGACGTGTGTGTGTCTGCGGTGACCATGTGCTGCAGGTGGCGCCGCTGGTGCTGCAGCTGTTGGTGCAGGAGACCCAGTAGCATCTCTGATATGGGGTCAGGATCAGGTGGCGGCACCCCTGACGACACCTCAGAGAGCCTCACCTCGTACCTGCGAGCCTTGGCCTTCATGTTCTTGTACAGCGTCTGGATCTGCTGTCGTGATCGCGGCGCCGACGTGTTGGCGTTGAACTGCCTCGTTATTTCGTCCCATAGTTCAGATTTGCGTATGATGGTTTGTGCGTCATTCTCCCTGGCGTCCAGCACGCCCATGTGAGAAGCGAGGGCACCCAAGAGGAGACAGCGCTCGGCGGAGGACGCGCTGCTGCTTCTTCCGCCTCGCACCAACATCATTCCGTCCATCATGGCACCGACACCAACCTCCTGCTACACAGAACTAAATCTCTCCACAATAAGTCAGATGTTTTCCACCACTCTCAAGTACCAGATAATTGCCTGAAACAAATATATTACTTAATTATTATATGAAATATATATGTGACAGTGACAGTATATTCATTATTTTGAACGCTATGTATTCGTGGTTCTTTTCATGTATATAGAACTTCAGTAGTTATTGGATGGGTCAGTATAATTCTAATGGCTTCATTTTACATGCATTTTAGCTCATGTATCACAACTTTTGTTGTGATATACAACTGAAGCTGGTGCATGTTAGTCTATTAGAGACCACACACACACACACACATATATATATATATATATATATATATATATATATATATATATATATATATATATATATATATATATATATATATATGTACATAATTTTAGCAATTTTAATATTTGCAATATGTGTTTAAAGGCTGTATCCTGTTTCAGTTCTGAGAGCATTTACACTTTGTTTTCATCGCAATCAAGGTACAAGAGACTGAGATTCCAAGGTATTTGAAAGGGAAAGTAAAAAGGGAACTAATAGGAAAAAGTTCCAAACCATTACGACTATACAGCACTTGGAAAGGGTCAAGATAAGGCTCTGGGATGGGACTGGGGGGGGGTGGAAGAAGAGACGCAGCCTACTGGTATATCATCAACCTTTTGTTTCGAGGAACATTTTCGCGATTGCTAATTTCTGTTGAACACATTTAATTTTCCAGTAATGATTACAAAACAATGGCTATCACAACCTATATATTTGCCATTAAAGATTGTTTGCACCTCATGGTGGGTTTTGGTATGTACAAGGATACCATACACTGTCCGTATTAGTGGATTTATATAATACAACATTAATGTCCCTACTAATTAATCACTGTAACATGTTCCAATGTATATTATATATGTATTATTATTATTATTATTATTATTATTATTATTATTCACAAAGAAATCACACTAACGCGATATATATCAATAAGAAAATGGGAGCAATGATAAGACTCAAACCACCGATCAGGGAATTAATTTTCTCATCATTATTATTGGTATTATTATTATTATTATTGTATTATTATTGAGAACATCCGAGTCATGATTAGAATTCAAACCTATGCGCTGGTTATTCCCAAACACCCCCGAGACAACCAGGCCACTACATGGTAAAATTATTGCAACCTGGAGTTCTACTGGACACACGAGCGTCCCTGAGGCCTCCACTAAAGCCGATCCAGGATTTCACAATCACCCTTCCCCCCCCCCCCCCCCCATGCACTCTACCATCTGTCATCTAGGAATTTTCTACCCTTGACGCTCAATAGTAAGGACTATATTAGGGGCTCGTTGAAAAAGGATTTTAGTAAGGTCCTTTTTGTTGTACCTTTGTTAAGGTTGCATTAATGTAGGCTAGTTTTTTTTTTGTTTCCTTCAAAGAGTGAAGAGGGCTATCGATTGATAAGATAATAGTGTATCATTGTAATAACTGACAACCTATATCTATTCGAGCGTATTTATACACAATAACTTCTCTGTTAGCACTATCAAAACATTTTTTAAGTCAAGAAATGTGAGAGTTGTCAGCACTCTCGCCATACGTCAAGATGTTGACACCAGGTTACATATCTTCTTTCGTTATATTTAATAATCTATTGAGCATCATTCACTAAAAAGGCTTTACACATGCAACTGGTCAGTGAGATGTGCTGAAAAGCATCAGACACGGTACCAGGTCTTAGTACTGGTACCGTATGGTACCGTGAGACCGCTGGTCCATGAGAAAAACAGCTGCTGGACGACCTAACTCCCAAGATGTAGTAATCTAAAGATATCATAGGTACTACTGAGCTCGCCAGGGGCACGCCCGTGGTGACGGTTGAAGGAAGTTCATAATCATCATTTGGAACGTCACATTTATTTTTGAACATTCTGTTTATTGAACATCTAATTTCTGACATCATTCAAACTCTTGGACTTCGCACGCAATTTCTTCCTAGTGCAAGCTGGTAGCATCTTATAGGTAGAGACTTGGAGCCATTTCGTAATTAAATCGTTGGCTTTGTGCAGCGAGTTTGCATGATAAATTTGTCTACTTTATAAAAGAGAGAGAGAGAGAGAGAGAGAGAGAGAGAGAGAGAGAGAGAGAGAGAGAGAGAGAGAGAGAGAGAGAGAGAGAGAGAGAGAGAGAGAGAGAGAGAGAGAGAGAGAGAGAGAGAGAGAGAGAGAGAGAGAGAGAGAGGTGGTTTGACTCACCAATAGTAATAATCTCAGAAACTATATTTAAAAATTATATTCAGTATATAGTCATTAAATTAGTGTACATATACAGGCACATAGTGTTTATACCAGCTGTTAATAGTCTGTAAAGATACATGCACCTTTCTCGCTGTTAACCTTCCTCTATTTAGTTTAAGTATTCTGGATGCTCTTAAACCAACGCATTTACTATTACTGTCATTAAGTGTTAAGTGCAGAGCGGCGCAGCTGGCGTTGGTCAGCGGTAAGACCAGACTAGACACCAGCAGGCCGCGTGTGTGAGGGCTGTTAGTGCTAAGTAACTATAACAAAGAAGGCACCAAGCCAGGAAGGCTGTGTAGCACTGTTATTGCTAAATGGTCACACATTAGATCATCCACAATATCAGAATCATGGGCTGTGTACGACAAGATAAATCCAATAGTCCTATCGCAGATCACACCTAGTTTCTTGTAACATGATTGCATCGTTAACACCTGATTGATTGTTGCAGTTGGCACATTTAGTACCTAAGCCTGGGTGGGTAATAAGTCTTCACTATGAGCTGCCGGAATGTATTCTAAGGACAATAAACTTGTTTGATGAAGGCTGTTCGCTGGTCCAGTGACCACTATTGCCAACTTATCCTTAACTCCTTTGAGACTTACAATGTTTTTCTATCAGTGTGATGCTAGTCAGAGGCAAGTCCAATATATGGTGGTTGTTGTAAAGTTGGCATGAGTAGGCGGTGGGGGAGTATTTAAGTATTACATTTATTCATACCAGTTCATGAGTACACGAATCTTGTAGCCATTTCTAAATATTGTTCATATGGATCTAAATATTGTTCACATGGTTTTCCTGTCCGTTTGAAAACCAAAAGCCACCACCAGGGTGCAGTGTCAGTTTTCTCCCCAGGCGGGAGTAAGCGGAAAAGCCCTAGCTTGGATAAGGAATTACTAACAGGCAGGAGCCTGAGAATAGCAGTAAGGGACCAGAAGTCAGACTGACTTGAGGTAACGAGTGGAATACCTCAAGGATCGGTACTGGGACCAGTTTTATTTCTGTTATAAGTGAACGACATGTCTGTAGGAGTCGAGTCCTATATGTCGATGTTCGCGGATGACGAGAAATTAATAAGACTAGTTGTGGCAGATAAGGATTGTAGGATACCCCAAGTAAACACTATTCACAGTTTTATAAATAGGTATGATAGTGAGGTAGGACAGGAGTAATTGCTTTCAACAACCGGCGGCTTGAAAAGCAGGATCCAACTGCCAATGCTCGATCCTGCAGGCATAAATAGGTGAGTACAAATTGGTGAGTACACACACACACACACACACACACACACACACACACACACACACACACACACGACCAAAGAGCCAAAGCTCAACCCCCGCAAGCACAAATAGGTGAGTAAACACACATTATTTAGCATGGGTGGTACACGCACAAGGGGGACTCAAGTGGAAGCCGAGTACTCAAATGAGCCACAGAGACATTAGAAAAAACTTTTTCAGTGTCAGAGTAGTTAGTAAATGGAATGTATTAGGCAGTGATGTGGTTATCTTCTTAAAGTTATCTTGAGATGATTTCGGGGCTTAGCGTCCCAGCGGCCCGGTCCTCGACTAGGCCTCCTTTTTGTTACACACCCCCAGGAAGCAGCCCGTAGCAGCTGTCTAACTCCCAGGTACCTATTTACTGCTAGGTAACAGGGGCATCAGGGTGAAAGAAACATTTTGCCCATTTGTCTCCGCCTCCACCGGGGATCGAACCCGGAACCTCAGGACTACGAATCCGAAGCGCTGTCCACCCAGCTTGTCAGGCGCAGGTGGAGGTGGCAGACTCTATACAGTCTTAGATGTAGATATGATAGAGCCCAATAACTCAGGAAATCTGTACACCAGTAGATTGACAGTTGAGAGGCGGGACCAGAGAGCCGAAGCTCAATAACCGCAAGCAAAATTAGATGAGCGCACACACACGATACAGAATAGGAGATGAAGTACTTAATGAAACGGAAAGAGAGAAAGATCTAGGAATTGATATCACACCAAACCTGTCTCCTGAAGCCCACATAAAAAAAATTACGTCTGCGGCATATGCAAGGCTGGCTAACATCAGAACAGCCTTCAGGAGCCTGTGTAAGGAATCGTTTAGAATCTTGTACACCACATACGTAAGACCAATCTTGGAGTATGCGGCCCCAGCATGGAGCTCGTACCTTGTCAAGCACAAGACGTAGCTGGAAAAAGTTCAGAGGTATGCCACTAGACTGGTCCCCAGAACTAAGAGGCATGAGTTACGAGGAAAGACTGCGGGAAATGCACCTTACAATATTGGAAGACAGAAGAGTGAGGGGAGACATGATCACTACCTACAAAATCCTCAGGGGAATTGACAGGGTAGACAAAGATAAACTATTCAACACTGGCGGTACCCGAACAAGGGGACACAGGCGGAAACTGAGTACTCACGTGAGCCACAGAGACGTTAGAAGGAACTTTTTCAGTGTCAGAGTAGTTAACGGATGGAATGCATTAGGCAGTGATGTGGTGGAGGCTGACTCCATACACAGTTTTAAATGTAGATATGATAGAGCCCAGTAGGCTCAGGAATCTGTACACCAGTTGACAGTTGAGAGGCGGGACCAAAGAGCCAAAGCTCAACCCCTGCAAGCACAATCAGGTGAGTACAATTAGGTGAGTACAAACACACACACACAGTGGACAGCGCCCTGGGATCGTAGTCCTAAGGGCCCGGGTTCGAACCCCGGCGGAGGCAGAAACAAATGGGCAGTTTCTTTCACCCTGGTGCCCCCTGTTCACCTAACAGTAAATAGGTACCTGGGAGTTAGACAGCTGCTATGGGCTGCTTCCTGGGGATTGTGTGTGTGTGTGTGTGTGTGTGTGTGTGTGTGTGTGTGTGTGTGTGTGTGTGTACTCACCTATTTGTACTCACTTATTTGTGCTTGCGGGGGTTGAGCTTTGGCTCTTTGGTCCCGCCTCTCAACTGTCAATCAACTGGTGTACAGATTCCTGAGCCTACTGGGCTCTATCATATCTACATTTAAAACTGTGTATGGAGTCAGCCTCCACCACATCACTGCCTAATGAATTCCATCCGTTAACTACTCTGACACTGAAAAAGTTCCTTCTAACGTCTCTGTGGCTCATGTGAGTACTCAGTTTCCATCTGTGTCCCCTTGTTCGCGTCCCACCAGTGTTGAATAGTTATCCTTGTTTACCCGGTCGATTCCTCTGAGGATTTTGTAGGTTGTGATCATGTCTCCCCTTACTCTTCTGTCTTCCAGTGTCGTAAGGTGCATTTCCCGCAGCCTTTCCTCGTAACTCATGCCTCTTAGTTCTGGGACTAGTCTAGTGGCATACCTTTGGACTTTTTCCAGCTTCGTCTTGTGCTTGACAAGGTACGGGCTCCATGCTGGGGCCGCATACTCCAGGATTGATCTTACATATGTGGTGTACAAGATTCGTGTGTGTGTGTGAGAAATATATGTAGTAGACATTATAGAAAAAATACATTGGTTAGAAAGTCGGGGCCCAAAAGCTAATATCCCGATTCCACTGGCATAAATAGTAAATACACAGGGAGTAGAAACACGACGAGCCAAACAAGTGGAAGTTCTGGAGAGGAATTTCTTAGTACAGCATATACATGCTGTACTAAGAGAAAGGGGAAAGAGGCACCTAGTCTACTGGATCAGACCGTCACCTAAAATGAGGAAGATGTGGCGACCTTAGAGCATGAACCACCTCTGGCAGTGTCATGACCACACACAAAACACGGCAGTGTCATGACCACACACAAAACACGGCAGTGTCATGATCACACACAAAACACGGCAGTGTCATGACCACACACAAAACACGGCAGGGTCATGACCACACACAAAACACGGCAGTGTCATGACCACACACAAAACACGGCAGTGTCATGACCACACACAAAACACGGCAGTGTCATGACCACACACAAAACACGGCAGTGTCATGACCACACACAAAACACGGCAGTGTCATGACCACACACAAAACACGGCAGTGTCATGACCACACACAAAACACGGCAGTGTCATGACCACACACAAAAGACGGCGAGGAGCTACAGAAGTTGCAACAAGAGAACCCTCCTTAAATTGAGAGAAAGTAGGATAAGGTGATGTTTATCATAGGTGGAAGCTGGACATGCAAACGTATCAAATAAATGTAAGGAGAGCCTCGTACCCTGTACCGGTGATCAAAATGTTAAATGAATTAAAAGAAGTTGTGGAAGCCACCTCTATCCAAAATTTTAGACAAGGAAATCGAACATCAGTAAAGCTAAATAATGATGCAAAACTAACACACACGTGCACTGTGTGTGGGGTGTGTCCTGTACACTGTGTGGGTGTGTGTCCTGTACACTGTGTGGGTGTGTCCTGTACACTGTGTGGGTGTGTCCTGTACACTGTGTGGGTGTGTCCTGTACACTGTGTGGATGTGTGTCCTGTACACTGTGTGGGTGTGTCCTGTACACTGTGTGGGTGTGTCCTGTACACTGTGTGGGTGTGTGTCCTGTACACTGTGTGGGTGTGTCCTGTACACTGTGTGGGTGTGTCCTGTACACTGTGTGGGTGTGTGTCCTGTACACTGTGTGGGTGTGTCCTGTACACTGTGTGGGTGTGTCCTGTACACTGTGTGGGTGTGTCCTGTACACTGTGTGGGTGTGTCCTGTACACTGTGTGGGTGTGTGTCCTGTACACTGTGTGGGTGTGTGTCCTGTACACTGTGTGGGTGTGTCCTGTACACTGTGTGGGTGTGTCCTGTACACTGTGTGGGTGTGTCCTGTACACTGTATGTGGGTGTGTCCTGTACACTGTGTGGGTGTGTCCTGTACACTATGTGGGTGTGTCCTGTACACTATGTGGGTGTGTCCTATACACTGTGTGGGTGTGTCCTGTACACTATGTGGGTGTGTCCTGTACACTGTGTGGGTGTGTACTATACACTGTGTGGGTGTGTACTATACACTGTGTGGGTGTGTACTATACACTGTGTGGGTGTGTACTATACACTGTGTGGGTGTGTCCTGTACACTGTGTGGGTGTGTCCTGTACACTGTGTGGGTGTGTCCTGTACACTGTGTGGGTGTGTCCTGTACACTGTGTGGGGGTGTCCAATACACTGTGTGGGGGTGTCCTGTACACTGTGTGGGTGTGTCCTGTACACTGTGTGGGTGTGTCCTGTACACTGTGGGTGTGTGTCCTTGATTATCTTGAGATTATCTTGAGATGATTTCGGGGCTTTTAGTGTCCCCGCGGCCCGGTCCTTGACCAGGCCTCCACCCCCAGGAAGCAGCCCGTGACAGCTGACTAACACCCAGGTACCTATTTTACTGCTAGGTAACAGGGGCATAGGGTGAAAGAAACTCTGCCCATTGTTTCTCGCCGGCGCCTGGGATCGAACCCAGGACCACAGGATCACAAGTCCAGCGTGCTGTCCGCTCGGCCGACCGGCTCCCACTGTACACAATACATGTGTCCTGTACACTGTGTGGGTGTGTGTCCTGTACACTGTGTGGGTGTGTCCTGTGCACTGCGTGGGTGTGTCCTGTACACTGTGTGGGTGTGTCCTGTACACTGTGTGGGTGTGTCCTGTACACTATGTGGGTGTGTCATATACACTGTGTGGGTGTGTGTCCTGTACACTGTGTGGGTGTGCCCTGTACACTGTGTGTGGGTGTGTCCTGTACACTGTGTGGGTGTGTCCTGTACACTGTGTGGGTGTGTCCTGTACACTGTGTGGGTGTGTCCTGTACACTGTGTGGATGTGTCCTGTACACTGTGTGGATGTGTCCTATACACTGTGTGGGTGTGTCATATACACTGTGTAGGGGGTGTCCAATACACTGTGCTGGTGTGTCCTATACACTGTGTGGGTGTGTCCTGTACACTGTGCGGGTGTGTCCTGTACACTGTGTGGGTGTGTCCAATACACTGTGCGGGGGTGTACTAAACACTGTGTGTGTGTCCCCAATACCACAAACCTAGAGATCTCTCACCTGTGTTAGTAGCGCCGAGTTGCTCAGGTGTTGGAGGGGACAAAGGCAGGTGTTTAAGCAAGCTGCTCATGTCTAACCAAACCCAGGTCCAACATGTGCCTCGTACACTCGTATCGTTGACCCTGAAGAATTATACTGTCTCCTTGTCGGTGTCTGCTCCGTGGATACGACCACAGGCTGTAACACCCATCACTAATTCTTGCTCTCTTCGCAAGCTGTACCACCACGCCCTTCACTGTGATCACGGTCACAACCTTCACGGTCACCAAGATCTTGAGGGCGTAACAAGGTACCAGGCGTGAGGGTGGTCAGCTAGACTAAGGTGGAAGTGGTGGTCGTGGGGCTGGTGAGTATCGAGCTAGTAAACCTTATCTCGACACACTATCTCGGCTATCGAGCCACTGCGGTGATAGCAGCAGTAGATAAACCCAGCACCAGGATATATATTGGATAAAAGCACGCAGCGCACAGACGGCTGTTCATGAGAGTGTGTGCGCGCGTTAATGTGCGTTACTGAGACGCATACCTTCAGTTTAGTTTATTATTATTATTATGTACATAATACCCATTCCGGGAGTGGTAACGGAGAAGGTTGCAGAGGCACATAATGGGTTCAGGAAATGAACCCCCAAATTCGTTCATCTAAGTAAGTTACAGCATTGATGAGCTAGTTACGAAGATTGTGTACATATGCATTAACAGTATATTCATAGTTTATCAAACTAACATCATCGAGTCCCACAAGAGGTCCAAACACTACCAAAGTTTAGTATAATTAGTTAGACGGAGCAAGGGTTTGGCTGTATCTTCCCCTGATCTGCTCTCCGCTCTGAAATGCGTGTATATTGTTCAGATGTGTTTACCTGCCATGTCTGTGGAGGTAAGTTGCCTTGTATAGTAACGTTGGGATGATCTGTACACCATCTAGCAGTGAGAAGTAGTGGAATAGGGGCACCAACCCGTCCTCGACTCAAGTCCATTCCATCCAGCGGTTGACCCCACAGACGCATTCATCAATTTGAACATGCAGTTCATTCAAAACCGGAATTTTCTCAAATATAAATTAATATTATAATATATTAGCATATTGTGTATATATAGGCATAGGATAGGTTAGGTTAGGTGTTTAGGTTCTGTTGGCGATTATTTGTATTTGTCGTACGTGGGTGAAGCATTTATAGCGTTGTGATTCGAACAAAATTCGTTAGTGAAGCACTTGTTCCGGTTATGTTCGAACGTCAGCAGTTGTGAGTCGTGTGTAAACCGTTTTTCATTCATAAACAGAGGGTTTGGCGGGTGCATGGAATCACTTTTGGATCTTTGTTTGGAGGACGGGCTGGTTCTCTTACATATAGTACAGTTGGTTACTGAGTTGGTTACTTGCCCGTCCTCCAAACAAAGACCCAAAAGTGATTCCATGCACCCGCCAAACCCCCTGTTTATGAATGAAAATCGCTTTACACACGCCTCACAACTGATGACGTTCGAACACTTCGGAACAAGTGCTTCACTGACGAATTTTGTTCGAAGCACAACGCTATAGATGCTTCACCCACCTACTACAAATACAAATAATCGCCAACATAACCTTACCTAACCTATGCCTATATATGTGCATTATGCTAATATATTATAATATTAGAAAAAATTCCCGTTTTGAATGAACAGCATGGAAAAATTTAAGAATGCGTCTGTGGGGTTGACCGCTGGATGTAATGGACTTAGAGTCGAGGACGGGTTGAAGAGAACATAGCTCGATCCGTCTATGAAGGACAGACGTAGATGTATGTATTGCAGCCCGTCCTCCAAACAAAGATCCAAAAGTGATTCCATTCACCCGCCAAACCCCCTGTTTATGAATGAAAAGCGGTTTACACACGACTCACAACTGCTGACGTTCGAACATATCCGGAACAAGTGTTTCACTGACGAATTTTGTTCGAACCACAACGCTATAAATGCTTCACCCACGTACTACAAATATAAATAATCGCCAACAGAACCTAAACACCTAACCTAACCTAACCTATGCCTATATATGCACAATATGCTAATATATTATAATATTAATTTATACTTGAGAAAATTCCCGTTTTGAATGAACAGCATGTTAAAATTTATGAATGCGTCTGTGGGGTTGACTGCTGAATGTAATGGACTTGAGTCGAGGACGGGTTGATGTATTGTGTGTATGTTGGTTTACATTGGAAAAGCACTTCAATCGCCTTCTGTGGTTGGGTGCTCAATAACCATGTGCACAATACGTAGGATAACAAAGCTCTAAACCTTGTCTAAGAAGAGTGTATGATGTAAAAGCACTTAGTTACCTGGTATGAATGAGTGCTCAGTAACTCACGTCACTATCTGTTGTCAACTGTAAATGAATGCCCGTCTGTGGTAGAAAATACATTAAAAAAATAAATACAGTCTAGTTCTAATACATTGTTTGTAGGTTAATATAGTGTAATAAGATGAGGTATCCGTCCACCCAGATCCGTGTGGATGTTTTTCGTAGAGTTTAAAGTTACTTTCGTCGTTTACCGGCGCATTTTCATTATTTACTCGAAAACGATTAATTAAATTCATTCGGGTTACAGTGAAGATAATGTGTTGAGAGGATGGTTACAATGCTGAGAGTATTTACAGTGACCTGCTGCCCCTAGAAACCATATGCAAAGTGAACATAACACAACACTAACCAGGAACATGCTAGTAAATAATACAAAAAATCCTGGAATCTACTGCTAACCAAAGATTGCAAATCCTGGCAGCCGTACTTATATAAAAAAGACATTTAAATGGCGAAGAGAAAGATATGAAAAAAGAATAAAAATTAAATAGCATCGTAAAAAAAAAAAAAAAAAAAAAAAAAAAAAAAAAAAAAAAAAACAGAGCCTAAAGGGACAAAATCTACGTCAGATAAGGTTTGTTAAGAAGGTTAGAACATTTAACTCTGTGCCGAGAAGTAAGAGTCAAAAAGTAACAACGCCAGGACTATGGTTCCTGTTGGGCATGTTGTGTATGAGATAATTCGACAAGACAGCGTCTATGAAGAATAGAGGCAGGAAAGATTATTTTAGAAGACCAATCTATTGTATGAAGAGTCCTTAACATGACAGATAGCATTCTTTGTATTTGGATACTTCCGCGGTACCTATTGAATGCTAACTGAAAATAAACATCAGTTGAATGCAAAAAAGTGCCCAAACGTCTCGGACTTGACGCAGGAATTTAACCCTTGACCTTTCGGTTTTGGTCAGACTACGTTGACTACAGCATTACGGGAAATATGTCATTTCTTTCTCTAGTCTTGAAGACGATACAGATGTAGCAGGCTTCAGTGAGACGCGGTACAAATAGGTTTATAACCATAAAAAAGACAAATAATAGCATGCAGTTAAATTTTATTTGCTAGAGGTTAAGTCAACATTTGAACACTGTGAGTACAGTACTTCATCCCTTTCCAAAATATTAGCTCAAGAGTTAACTATAAACATGAATGAAAACACAATTCACTGTAAAAAATTATATAATATAAATTGGGTTATTTATATATGATGAAGCGTTTTTGTACTAAAACTAAATCATAATAATGTATACTATTAATGTGAAATTTCCTACAATATAGTATGTTAAGAAGGAACTATACCATAGTATTTTAACATAGCAGTATATACAGTCTAACTGTAAAGATTTGTTATGAGAATAAGCATTTTTGTTTGATAATAGCAAGTGCAATATTTTGTTTACAAAAAGCATTTTCTTGACCATTTAGGGGAAAAAAATCACAATTAAAAGTATTTTATGACTTTATAAGATACATATTTTATCATATGGTGGTATTTTGTAATGATTTCTGCAAAGTGTATGGTAAAAGTTCAGAGATCTCCTCTTAAATAAACGTAACTAAATCCTTTGTAATAGTTCTGTTCCTCTTGTCCACATGAGAAAAGGACCCACCTTGCTGGCATGGTTGCGGGAGAGATTCTGATCATACAGCGACTAACTCAGAGTAGAACCATCCCACCAACCTAGAGAGAAAATATAAGAAGTGCTGAATTGTGAGTATAACAACAGTAGTTTTATTTGTATGTATTCGTTTTCATTTTATCACGGGTGATTCCAGGCCACAGGTAGCCATTTTTGGGGGTGGGGAGGGAGAGACCTTTTAGTATCCTGTTCAAACCAAACTTTCTGTAGGAGGCGGGACCCCTACATGAGCAGTTTCTGACTACCAGCACGGTGCCCTTCTCAAGCCTTTTCCAATCTTGAGAGAGTCCAGGAGGCAGGAATAGGTTGTGTTCCTATCTGTCTTCCGTTCAACATGTGGTGCTCCATGTTTCTACCACCCTCCCTCTCTCGTGGGCACTCTCTGCCCCCGCTCATCTCCGTCCAGTCTTTGTCAGGAAGAGGACAAAAACAATGGCTTCTAGCTTTTATCAAGTCAGAAACTTTTTAAGTCAAAATGTTTGGCGACCCACTCAAAATGAGTCAGATATAAGGGAAATATGATCCGAAGCACCCTTTGGAATGAGTGACCTCTATATGACAGTGTTAGGGTATCTAATGGAAGCTGGTTCGACTGGTCCAAAAATAAAATGAAAAGGCAAAAGGCCGAAATTTCAAAGGTAAAATTATGAGACAGTAAGAGAATTTATATCATAAGTTCCATAGGTCATAGACGTCAGAGAAGACCATGTAACATGGAGTTACTGAAATTTGTTGGAAAGTAGTTGAAGAGTGTGTTGTTGTTTTAAGGGAGGACAATGAAAAACACTGTATCATCCCATGGTGTAATCAAAGGTGTAAAGATACTAACTGTATAAGATAAGCACGAGGGCATGGAAGATTTAGAGAGGAGCAACAGAGGGCCAAGAATGAATACCTCAGGGAAAAAAAATTCATAAAAAAATAGAGCAAATAAAGCAGACCCAGCGCAAGATGCTCCACAACCACCTAATATGGAAAACAACATTACAGGAACATGTTATAAAACTCAGGATAGAAGACACATTCACAGATGTTGACAGAGAAATACATGAGATATTACTAGAAATTCTGAGAAATCTTCACAGCAGTAAGGGAGAGTACCTCAGCTGAATCGGATGGTCCGATGGTGTCAAACCAAACAGCACTAGAGGACTTTCAGATATCCAGAGAACTGGAGGGGGCATTACTAAGGCTGTGGGACATCCTGGAACTAGACACTAATAACGCTGTGGGACTTACTGGAAGTGGACACTACTGAGGCCGTGGGACCTGCTGGAACTCGACATTACTAAGACTAAGAAAACTAATGGAAATTTACACTACAAAGACAGTAGAACTTAGTGGAACTGGACACTAAGACTGTTGGACCTGCTGGAACTGGACACTATTAAGGTTGTGGAACCTGCTGGAACAGGACACTACTAAGGCTATGGGACCTGCTGGAACTGGACACCATTAAGTTTGTGGAACCTGCCAGAACTGGACATTATTAAGGTTGTGGAACCTCCTGGAACTGGACACTACCAAGGCTGAGACCCGACAGAATTTCACAATAGATACCGAGAGTGACAGTTGAAGCACTATGCGTGGCAATTTAAAACTATGATTTATAACCCACTGAAAACAAGTGAACTACAATAAATCTGGAAGACAGCCAATGTAACAAAAAATAAAAACAGACAAACGGCACTAAAAACATACCGGTGTCCCCTACAAGTAGTACTATGGAAGGTGATGGTACCTCTCTTGGTACATGTATTCATTACATGAAAAATATACACTGGTTGTATTACATTGTATAGATACATGATACCTTATTGCTATGCCATGTATCATTACTTGCAATGAGTATAAACAAACTGGTAAACAGAAAGGCAAAGATTTCAATCACATCCCAAATAAATTAAAAACCAAATTTACTAAATAACTTACAGATATACCTAAAATGTTTCGCTTAATTAGCAGCTTTATACAATACGCAAACACTATACCTACTAACTAACCACTGTAACATGTCACATTGTATATTTTTTACAAATATAATATTAAAAATATTTATTATTAGAGCCCTGCTGTTAATAAGCAATACATCCTCTATATATCCCATTATTATCTCTTAAAATATCTTCATCACAACTCTTGCAAAACTCACCAATGCATTATTCAACTTTCATAATACAGTATTATACTTTACTCACTTTTATTTGAGAAAAATGATTTAAATCCCATCACCATTAACACTTCCAACTGCTCTCTAACCAGGTCAGCCTCTGTTCCATCTGAAAAAATAACCAAACCAGATATTGGTCAACTGTTTAAGGAGAGCAACCCGAAGACCTTATCTTTAACCCCTGCCCAGTTATAACATCTCTGCTCACACTACACACACAAACGTTTTCATGATTAGAAATTACATCAGAAAACACGTGATTCGGTTACGCGTAAGTATCTACGTAGAAAAAATCAACGAAAATTCTGAACGTTTTCGTGTATCAACACATTATCAAGGAATACAGACAAAAAAGAAATGGGATTATATATCCCCTTCACCAGAGTATGTTATTATCTAAAAATCTTAATATCAAATAATGAAGGTGGCATGATTGAATGGGATAGACTATTCCTTAATTCTTGGAATGTACTACATCTCATACAATTATTCCTTACATAATTTTATGTTTATTACAAATCTTACCAATTATAAAGCTATCTAATTTATATAATTCTGAATATACATTAATTCCATCTAATTTAATATTTTTTCTAAATGAAGATTCAGTAATATGTCTTTCACTAACTAATTAACTTCACAATTTTGCACGAATTTGTCTAGTCAAATGAATGATTAAAATCTCTTGCACTGCCCGCCGATTAACACACCTAAATATTTTGAAAAAACATTTCAAAAAACTAATTCTTATAGTAATATACACCATTATGCCCTATTCTCTAAAAACAATTAACATAAATTTCTTGCTACCCATAATTTGCCTGTACTCGCACAAAATTAACAGACGTTCTTCAACGTTATTCATTCACTTTAATTAAAACATACAATCCTGAGCTTGAAAGGTTTCTCAAGCCCCGCTGCTCTCTCAACGTAAATTGGGTAACTAAAATATTTTTTAATTAAAACTTAATTTTGTAAAGAGACAGAGATGGATGGATAGTTTGATATATAAATAGATGCATAGATGGTTGGATAGATTGATAAATAAATAGATAGATGGATAGATGAATGAATTGATGGATAGATGGGCTGATATTTTGATAGCTGGATGGATGAATCGGAGTTATAGAGGGATGGCTGGATAGATTCATGTCCAGACGGATGGATAGATAGATGGAGAGATAGCTGGATGGATGGATAGATGGATGGATAGATGAATAAATTAATAAATAGATTTATTAATCTATTAATAAATAGATAAATAAATAGATTGCAGGGTGGATTGCAAGATAGATGGATACATGGATATGTGAACTCATCCTCCTGTTTATATAGTACTTTTTGTACTAATATTAAATATTACTATTATTATATAGCAAAATATATGTAATATACTAGGCCTGAGATAACATGTATTAGGCTGGGATGGTTAGGATAGGTTTCACAAGCAACATAATTACAAAACCTTTTCCAGTTTGTCCAAATGTGAGAATATGAAATTCTACTTTCTAGTTTCCCATTACGTCAATATATGTACAATGGTCCACGTCATTGGGAAGGGGATGGGAGAAGGTGTAGAGTATGATGGGGAGGGGACCAAGGGAATGGAGGAGAGGGAAAAAGAGGGAAATACAGATGTTTCAACTGCTGTATATGTGGTCTGGGGCTTGAGGCTCCGATGGTCTGAAGTGAATGAAATGTTATTATCCACAATATGATAGTTAGCAATTTATGATTAGGATGTGGCTCATCTATCTCCTTCATGCCAAAGTAGCACCCCAAAAAAGGCCTAAAGTTCCAGTTGGACAGCAAATACATGTCTCTGGATTCATTCCTTATTAAGAGGTATTGTTGGCTCAGTAGGTATATCTATGGCCTGACGTTTATGTGGTCTGCAGTTCAAGGCTCTGATGGTCCAAAGTGAATGAAATGTTATAACCCACGATATGGTGGTTAGCATATCCCCTCCCCATTCAGAAAATACTTTATATACATAACCTGAACTGTCATCCACATGTACAGGTGATCTACTGCGTACAACTTGTGTTCTAAGGCGGTGTAGCTCACAGCCAGGTGGGTTGACTGAAAATCTGCTGTCCGAGCTTTCTGATAAATCATCCCAAGAGTTATTACTCAAGTCCTGTTGTGGGCTATAATTGAAATTGCTGGTGTTTTCTGGTAACACAATACAGGAGACATCATCAGAGTCATGCTGTGGTCTACAACTGAAGTTGATGTGATCGGTACATAGAGGCTCACTCCCATGGTAGTAAGGAGATTCTGAGCTATACTTTCCAGAGGTGTTAGCAGTATACAGCGGGTCACTCCCATGAAAATATGGAGATCTTGGGCCGTATTTCTGCATGGAAATAGGACATTTCCACTTCCTTCTTGTGAGTCTATCTCGTTCCTTTTCTAACCTGAAAAAGTACATTTTTATTAATAATTAAAAGCGCGCAATACAATGGTATTTCGCAGGAGTAAAATTACAAAAACCTAAATTCATAAAGCAAAAAAAATTAAGACCTTTTGACCTGTTCTAGTGTTAAAAACACTTGGAAAAAGTACCTGAATCACTGTCGAAATGACTCTTTATGTCAATATGAAGGCTGCAGTTACTATTCACTGCATGTGAATAGTAATGAATAGAATAACAATGTGGAGAAAGACTGAAAATAGAATAAAGACAACATAAACACAAAGAAAGCAGAGATACCCCCGATGATACCTGGGATATCCCACAAGACAAAAATTGGAGGGTTTGGCGTAACAAAATAATACCTTCTGGAACGTACCTCAGTAAGTCTAATTAGCTTATGGCACTGGTTAACTTTAGGCATAGTGAGTAAGACAGGTTCCCCTAAAGTGAACAAGCACTTTTACAAGTATTCTTAGCCACTCCACAGGGTGGGAGACCCCCTCCCAGTGAACCAGATTCAGACGATCTAGAGTACTCTACCAGGATGATGAGTACCCAGTTTTCCTGTTGAGCCGATGTACTCTCCCAATAAATGGTGCTGGATCTCATCTCTCGGATGACTTGGAAGCACGTCACAATTCACCAATGCATCACCACAGCAAGTTCATACAAGAAATAATAACAACAGTGAGGAATATGAAGATAGAAGTAGTGGGGATTTAAAACTCCCCACCAAATATTAGAAAGCTTAGGGAGCAATATGACAAATTCAACAAAACCTGCTGAACATGTAAAAAGAAAAGGCATTGTCTCAATATTTTTTTCCTACTACAAAAAATAATATACTAAATCTAACCTTCATACCTGAAAGTTTTAAGTACTCTCTGCAGCATAATGATCTACGCCCTCTACTCACAACCGAGGGACCCAGAGTTCAATCAGTACATAAACAGTAGGGCGGGTTTCTTTTCATCTGATGCCCTCTAGTCACCTAGCAATGAAACAGGTACCTGAGAGTTAAGCAATTAAGGGTTGCAGCCTGTGGAAGGTAAGGACCAGACTTACCTTCCTACCTTTAATAAGCCTAAGTACAGACTTCCTTTTTCCGACAACGGGAATTATTTATAACACAAACAAGGGCTCTTACGTAGTTTGGGCAGCAGATTGATGAGACATCATCTGTTCAGTGCCTTGGTCAATACGCAAACGTTTCATCTCATCTTCTAAGATAATCTTTTTACCATTCTTTTCAATTAACGTTGAATCATCACCTGAAATTAAGATTTATATAATTAACTAATACATAGTGAAAGCTCTGATCTACCTGAAACATAATTTACTATTATAAAACATCTAACGTTGAAAGTAATTATAATTCTTTCTGGTGGGTCCCTCGGTGTAGAAGAACAACTACTTGGGCTGGACGGTAGGGCGAAGGTCTCGCTTCATGCAGGTTGGCGTTCAATACTCAACCTTCCAAGTGGTTGGGCACCATTCCTTTCCCCCGTCCCATCCCAAGTCCTAATCCTGATACCCTTCCAAGTGCTATATAGTCGTAATGGCTAGGGACTTTCTCCTAAAAACTCCCCCCTCCTCCTTTCTCTCTCTCTTATTATTGATTCGGTGGAGAGGAGGGAAAGCGGAGAGGGGCGAAAGGGGGATGGAAGAGGAAAAAAGAGATGAAATAGGGGACATGGACATGGGGAAGAGGGAAACATGGAAGAATTTTTTTTATATACAAGTTCTTATATTCTCGTACAGCCATTAGCACGCATAGCGTTTCGGGCAAGTCCTTAGTCCTATGTTACCCGGAATACGACCCGCCAAATCGTTTAACAACCAGGTACCCATTTTACTGTTGGGTAAACAAAGGCTACAGTTAAGGATTGACGCCTAGTAAATCCTCCCCGGCCAGGATACGCAAACAGGACAAAACGCTCGCGAAACGCCAGTCAAGTGTCTTATCAACTACACCACGGGGACTGCTCTAGTGAGACCCGGGCACTGCCGGGTACCCCAACTGGTATATATATATATATATATATATATATATATATATATATATATATATATATATATATATATATATATATATATATATATATATATATATATATATATATATATATATATATATATATATATAATATATATATATATATATATATATATATATATATATATATATATATATATATATATATATATAATATATATATATATATATATATATATATATATATATATATATATATATATATATAATATATATATATATATATATATATATATATATATATATATATATATATATATATATATATATATATATATATATATATATATATATATATATATATATATATATATATATATATATATATATATATATATATATATATATATATATATATATATATATATATATATATATATATATATATATATATATATATATATATATATATATATATATTATATATATTATATATATATATATATATATATATATATATATATATATATATATATATATATATATATATATATATATATATATATATATATATATATATATATATACAACTTTAAAACACTTTCCCACCAGGAGACTCGAACCCTAGCCAGCACAGAAGCCTTCCAGCAACTGGCATAACAGGTACGCCTTAACCCGCTCCACCACCAGCTCAGACCCTTAAGAGAGATGGTAATTTCGGAGTATTTAAATACCCCAAAGATCAACACCTCCCAAGAGCACCAGAGCAAGTGAGGGGTCATTTATACGTTAATTTCATCAAGTCCCTGTTAATATGGGAAGACACAGTGTCTCTGCTTAAGGCACAACTCTCCTAAACACGAGAGTTAAGTATACAACTTTAGAACACTTTCCCACCAGGAGACTCGAACCCTAGCCAGCACAGAAGCCTTCCAGCAACTGGCATAACAGGTACGCCTTAACCCGCTCCACCACCAGCTCAGACCCTTAAAAGAGATGGTAATTTCGGAGTATTTAAATACCCCAAAGATCAACACCTCCCAAGAGCACCAGAGCAAGTGAGGGGTCATTTATACGTTAATTTCATCAAGTCCCTGTTAATATGGGAAGACACAGTGTCTCTGCTTAAGGCACAACTCTCTTAAACACGAGAGTTAAGTATACAACTTTAGAACACTTTCCCACCAGGAGACTCGAACCCTAGCCAGCACAGAAGCCTTCCAGCAACTGGCATAACAGGTACGCCTTAACCCGCTCCACCACCAGCTCAGACCCTTAAAAGAGATGGTAATTTCGGAGTATTTAAATACCCCAAAGATCAACACCTCCCAAGAGCACCAGAGCAATATATATATATATATATATATATATATATATATATATATATATATGTCGTACCTAGTAGCCAGAACTCACTTCTCAGCCTACTATGCAAGGCCCGATTTGCCTAATAAGCCTAGTTTTCATGAATTAATGTTTTTTCGTCTACCTAACCTACCTAACCTAACCTAACCTAACGTTTTCGGCTACCTAACCTAACCTAACCTATAAAGATAGGTTAGGTTAGGTTAGGTAGGGTTGGTTAGGTTCGGTCATATATCTACGTTAATTTTAACACCAATAAAAAAAAATTGACCTCATACATAATGAAATGGGTAGCTTTATCATTTCATAAGAAAAAAATTAGAGAAAATATATTCATTCAGTAAAACTTGGCTTATTAGGCAAATCGGGCCTTGCATAGTAGGCTGAGAAGTGAGTTCTGGCTACTAGGTACGACATATATATATATATATATATATATATATATATATATATATATATATATATATATATCCCTTTGAGAATTCATTATTAAATCTACTGTAAATATAACATATTTAATCTATTACATTTAGATTAAATCTAAATGTAAATATAAAAATATATATAAATTTCTCATTTACTGTATGCAGTAAATGAGAAATTATAAATAATTATTTTTTTTCCTATTTCAAGGGAAAATAAATGTTGAATTATAATCTGAATTCTAATATCGTACTGCAATTTAAATATAGTAGAAAATATGATTACAGAGAATTTAATTACAATGGTGGTCTGGCAATGCCAGTACACGAGATAAAATTGGCCAAAACACTATCGGCATAAAGTGGCTTCATAATTGTAATACAAAGAATCATATGACGCACCTAAGTCTTCTTGCTTCTGATGAGGTTGATCACTCATGTGTGCAGCATTTACCAAAGCTGCTAACGAACAATGATGACCCGTAGAGCTATGACCATTCATCGTTGTAGTGTTTATAGATTCACTACGTCCATTCATGTCTAATGGAGGCACAGCAAGAACTCTGTTGGATTTATATAAAATAAGGGACATAAGCATCATACCACATTTGTAATTATACCAATGTAACCACCCATCTCTCCCACGTTTGTTATATCGCATATCTCTCCCATGTTTGTTATTACATATCTCTCCCATGTTTCAGTTATACCACACATCTCTCCCATGTTTCAGTTATACCACACATCTCTCCCATGTTTCAGTTATACCACATATCTCTCCCATGTTTGTTATACCACACATCTCTCCCATGTTTCAGTTATATCACACATCTCTCCTATGTTTCAGTTATACCACACATCTCTCCTATGTTTCAGTTATACCACACATTTCTCCCATGTTTCAATTATACCACACATCTCTCCCATGTTTCAGTTATACCACACATCTCTCCCATGTTTCAGTTATACCACACATTTCTCCCATGTTTCAATTATACCACACATCTCTCCCATGTTTCAGTTATACCACACATCTCCCCCATGTTTCAGTTATACCACACATCTCCCCCATGTTTCAGTTATACCACACATCTCCCCCATGTTTCAGTTATACCACACATCTCCCCCATGTTTCAGTTTTACCACACATCACTCCCATGTTTCAGTTATACCACACATTTCCCCCATGTTTCAATTATACCACACATCTTTTACACAATTGTGTGAAAGTGTGTCGAAAGATGGGTAGGGTGCTAACGTGAATTGTGCCATCTCCACAATGCTACCCTCCCTCTCAATCCCGTGTCGCTACCATCACTGCCACCCCAGCAATGATGGCATGTTCCATGACCCCCTACTATGCTAACCCACCCTGCCACCCCAATTATATACCACCCTCATAAAGTTCAAGTGCATGTATGTTTATTGAGACAAGAAAAAATACATCTCAAAGGGTTAGAGTAGCTTAGGCTATTTCTACCCTCGATGTGTTACGGTCGTATTCTAGCGTTCGTGTTTCAGCTAAATTTTAAACAAAATTTATTTTGATATTATGCAGTTTTGAATTAACGATAAAGCAAACTTTTGAATTAATGAGGAAATACCAACTCCATGAAATGTAGGCCTATATGCTTTAAATTTACATTCAGTAAATTGCGATCAAATTGATAGATTTTCAGCGAATCAAAGCCTAATAGTGAGCCAGCGCTCGCTGACATTCGTTTTTACGATGTAAGCCAAAATGGGTGCATGACTGCAGCTATCTTCTACTGCGTCATCTGGTCTGGGGTAACCGGGAATCTCTAGTCGCAGCTTTGTACGATCTTTTAGAATGCACAGCAAAAGATTTGATGACATAAAAGTCTTGAGAGAAGACTCTGTATTATTTAATTTCCGATTAATTGTGCAACTGTATAAAATATTAACAATGATACGACTGATTTCATCTTCAAATTTATGATCTGACATCATGTTACATTGTAAATAGTTAATTATTACAATTATTAGCTTAATAATTAGGTCCTGTAGCTTTTTCAATACTTTAAAATAGGTAGGTATTAAGGCTGTACTATATATATTATATTGGGAATGATGTGGTAAACTATCTTCAGAGCATCACTACATTCAAAATGTGTATTTAACATCTAATGAAATTCATCCCCAAAACAATTCTTTACTTCTATGAATAGAAAACTAATAAGATATAATTAATTATCGTCTTGTCGGGGACACGATGCCCGTGTGTATATATATATATATACGTTAGGCTGGTACCGAAATCCCTTCAAGGCCGTCGTACTTATCCTTCTCCAGAATGCAACCCCACAACAGTTGTCTAGCTCCTGGGCACCCATTTTCTGCTAGGTGACCAGTGGTATTAGGTGAAAGGAAACGTGTCCAAGCATTTCTGTCCTGCCCGCGAATAGAAAGAACCCGGGATTCCCAATTATGAGTTGAGAACTAGATTTTCGTGTATTAAGAATATTATTTGTAGTAGGCTGTGTGACAATGAAAATATTAATGACATTGAGAAGGAATTGTTTATGGGATCACGTTCCAGATCAAATTATTATGGTCTAATAATAACGTAATTATGTCTGAGGCTACTTGCGTAATTGTTATGTCTGAGGTTACTTACGTAATTATTGTCTCAGGCTACTTACGAAATTATAATGTGCTTGAGGCTACTTATGTAATTATTATGTGTTTGAGGCTACTTACGTAATTATAATGTGTCTGAGGCTACTTACGTAATTATAATGTCTGAGGCTACTTACGTAATTATTATGTGTCTGAGGCTACTAACGCAATTATAATGTGTCTGAGGCTACTAACGTAATTATTATGTGTCTGAGGCTACTAACGTAATTATTATGTGTCTGAGGCTACTAACGCAATTATAATGTGGCTGAGGCTACTAACGTAATTATTATGTGTCTGAGGCTACTAACGCAATTATAATGTGTCTGAGGCTACTTACGTAATTACAATGTCTGAGGCTACTTACGTAATTATAATGTCTCTGAGGCTACTAACGCAATTATAATGTGTCTGAGGCTACTTACGTAATTACAATGTCTGAGGCTACTTACGTAATTATAATGTCTGAGGCTACTTACGTAATTATAATGTCTGAGGCTACTAATCACAATCTGGAATCCCGGGTTTTATTCCAGGCGGGAAAAAACTGTTTGGACACTAAATGAGCATTGAATATGCTACGATAGGTTACGTCAACCAAGCTTTCAGCCTGGAAATTTATTACTGCACGTGTTACCGTGTAGGCCTACCAAGTCACAGGTAACATCTGCTGTGCTTGTTGCCATGTTGGTCAACCAGTTCACAGGTAGCATCTATTGCTCTGATTTTTATACATAGGACTACCAAGTCACAGGTAACATCTGCTGTGCTTGTTGCCATGTTGGTCAACCAGTTCACAGGTAGCATCTATTGCTCTGATTTTTATACATAGGACTACCAAGTCACAGGTAACAAAGGTTGCAACACTTATTACCATGTAGGTCTGGAAAGTAACAAGCAACATATGTTGCTGCACTTGTTATTATGTAGGCCTACCAACTTACAGGTAACAGCTCTTTAGATCCAATCGATTTACATCATATTTTATATTTAATTGTCAACATCGTAAGGAGGCCCATAACAATAGATTATAACCTTTAGTCATGCCATGAACAAATGTTCCCTCGCGTTTAATAAGCACGACTCACGCTACCAAATGTTACCCCAAATTAGGGTGTAGGCTTATTCAGGTTTATCGCCTGCAAATAGGCTAAAATACGCTAGATACATGACATACCTTCATGCAATATTTAAGACAGGCTCTGGGTAATTCCACGAGGCCACACAGTAGTATGCTGCTCATATTCACTGCCCCAAAGTAAGTAATTATCAAGATAAGGTGCCAAGCCTTAGGTAGCCCCGCCCCCCTTCATCTCTGACCCAAAGATTATACCAGCATCAATGGTCATGACAAAAATGCAATTAGGTGTCTTATGTGACACTTGTGTCCTAGTTCTTGTTATTACATCAATTTGGGTTCGTCTGTTAGTGGGATAGGAGAAGTGAGGCTAGGCCAGGGGCCCGACGTCCTTCAGCGTGAGGGTAAACAGAGGCCATCACAGACGCTGTGCTCACAGTCTTAAATGCTTTGCTCGCCAGTATTGCATCTTTGGCCTGAGTACATAATGATCACTAATGAGTCTACAGTTCATAAGGTGATCGGGATGTTTCCCCACAGCATAATCAAAGCGCCAGATGGCGCTATACTCACCAAAAGGTATGGAGGAAGGCGGCCCCTGCGACACCCTGAGCAGTCGTCTCCACCAATGCTGTCCCAAGATGGCGGCGGCCGAGGTCGCGCTCCTTGCAAGCTATCGTTTGGCATAATTTAGCATTTATAATCTTTCCTTGTTAAAAGAGTTCATTTATTGAACACTTCCCACTTCCTATGAATTAAATGCAGCTAAACCCTCCACCGGCGTCTGTGGAGAACGCTTCACTAGGCTAGGCCTATACTGAAGTAAAATTTTACCAACACCAATTGTGAAAAATGTTGTTGACTGATAGGTTATTAGTTTGTTTTTATTGTCTACTTTGTAGCTGCGGTCAACGTCTGCAGAGCTTTGTGGTTGTCAAATGATGACTGAATGTCTTGCAAACAAATTCCAGTACCGTGGAATGGAAAGATCAGGATGGAAAGAAGTCGATAAGAACTCTGTAGGGTTCTGTAGTGTATAAGCAGGTCCTAGTCAACAACGGCTTCTCTAATGGTTTCGTTGAAGACATCATAAAAAGAAAGGTGGAACGCCATGCAACCTCTGAAGAGTCAACCAACACAACACTTGTACTCCCTATTAGACTACTTTACAGGAACTTCTTTTCGACGGCTCATAAAACGGAAGAAAGGGTCCTGAAAGATATTGTTGATAGGAACGTCATCCCTACAGACAAAAATCAGAAAATACAATTGATAATTTATTATAAAACCAAAAAAACGGCCAATCTACTCATGAAAAACTCCACAGACAACGCAGAACGCTTTAAATACCAACGTCGTCTATGCCTTTAAATGCCCACTTGGGGACTGTAAGCCCCAAAGAACTTAGTATATAGGCAAGACAACAACGTTTCTTTCCAAGCAACTAACAATGCATAAGCAACAGGGCGCTATCAAGGAACATATAATCTCTTCTCACAACGAGACCATCACCAGAGAAATTTTAACAAACAACACAGAAATCATCGATAGGTACAGCGATAGCAGGCGGCTTGACATCAGCCAGGCACTACACATCAAAAAGTCAACACCAGCAATCAACAGCCAATTAATGCACAACTATACAATGCATCGTATTGGGCCAATAGGCCCTCTTCAATGCATCGTATGGGCCAATAGGCCCTCTGCAGTTACTTCCATTCTCATGTACCCACCTCACCCAAACCATGTCAAAGGTTATATGTGAAGGATTTGTCAAAGGTTCATCATACACAGCACCGCTCTTGTGCCAGGTAAGTCCACAACGGGCTCACCATGGCCCGTGCTACATATATACATATATATATATATATATATATATATATATATATATATATATATATATATATATATATATATATATATATATATATATATATATATATATATATATATATATATATATATATATATATATATATATATATATATATATATATATATATATATATATATATATATATATATATATATATATATGTCGTACCTAATAGCCAGAACGCACTTATCGGCCTACTATGCAAGGCCCGATTTGCCTAATAAGCCAAGTTTTCCTGAATTAATATATTTTCTCTAATTTTTTTCTTATGAAATGATAAATCTAACCATTTCATTATGTATGAGGTCAATTTTTTTATTGGAGTTTAAATTAATGTAGATATATGACCAAACCTAACCAACCCTACATAACCTAACCTAACCTATCTTTATAGGTTAGGTTAGGTTAGGTAGCGGAAAAAGTTAGGTTAGGTTAGGTAGTCGAAAAACAATTAATTCATGAAAACTTGGCTTATTAGGCAAATTGGGCCTTGCATAGTAGGCTGAGAAGTGAGTTCTGGCTACTAGGTACGACATATATATATATATATATATATATATATATATATATATATATATATATATATATATATATATATATATATATATATATATATATATATATATATATATATATATATATATATATATATATATATATATATATATATATATATATATATATATATGTCGTACCTAATAGCCAGAACGCACTTCTATGCCTACTATGCAAGGCCCAATTTGCCTAATAAGGCAAGTTTTCATGAATTAATTGTTTTTCGACTACCTAACCTACCTAACCTAACCTAACTTTTTCGGCTACCTAACCTAACCTAACCTATAAAGATAGGTTAGGTTAGGTTAGGTAGGGTTGGTTAGGTTCGGCCATATATCTACGTTATTTTTAACTCCAATAAAAAAAATTGACCTCATACATAATGAAATGGGTAGCTTTATCATTTCATAAGAAAAAAATTAGAGAAAATATATTAATTCATGAAAACTTGGCTTATTAGGCAAATCAGGCCTTGCATAGTAGGCTGAGAAGTGCGTTCTGGCTACTAGGTACGACACATATATATATATATATATATATATATATATATATATATATATATATATATATATGTCGTACCTAGTAGCCAGAACTCACTTTTTGGCCTACTATTCAAGGCCCGATTTGCCTAATAAGCCAAGTTTTCCTGAATTAATATATTTTTTCTAATTTTTTTCTTATGAAATGATAAAGCTACCCATTTCATTATGTATGAGGTCAATTTTTTTATTGGAGTTAAAATTAACGTAGATATATGACCGAACCTAACCAACCCTACCTAACCTAACCTAACCTATCTTTATAGGTTAGGTTTGGTTAGGTAGCCGAAAAAGTTAGGTTAGGTTAGGTTAGGTAGGTTAGGTAGTCGAAAAACAATTAATTCATGAAAACTTGGCTTATTAGGCAAATTGGGCCTTGCATAGTAGGTTGAGAAGTGCGTTCTGGCTACTAGGTACGACATATATATATATATATATATATATATATATATATATATATATATATATATATATATATATATATATATATATATATATGTCGTACCTAGTAGCCAGAACTCACTTCTCAGCCTACTATTCAAGGCCCGATTTGCCTAATAAGCCAAGTTTTCCTGAATTATTATATTTACTATAATTTTTTTCTTATGAAATGATAAAGCAACCCTTTTCTCTATGTATGAGGTCAATTTTTTTTATTGGAGTTAAAATTAACGTAGATATATGACCGAACCTAACCAACCTTACCTAACCTAACCTAACCTATATTTATAGGTAAGGTTAGGTTAGGTAGCCAAAAAAAGCTAGGTTAGGTTAGGTTAGGTAGGATAGGTAGACGAAAAAACATTAATTCATGTAAACTAGGCTTATTAGGCAAATCAGGCCTTGAATAGTAGGCTGAGAAGTGCGTTCTGGCTATTAGGTACGACATATATATATATATATATATATATATATATATATATATATATATATATATATATATATATATATATATATATATATATATATGACATATATATATATATATATATGTACGACATATATATATATATATATATATGTCGTACCTAGTAGCCAGAACGCACTTCTCAGCCTAATATGCAAGGCCCGATTTGCCTAATAAGCCAAGTTTTCCTGAATTATTAAATTTTCTCAAATTTTTTTCTTATGAAATGATAAAGCTACCCATTTCATTATGTATGAGGTCAATTTTTTTTATTGGAGTTAAAATTAACGTAGAAATATGACCGAACCTAACCAACCCTACCTAACCTAACCTAACCTATCATTATAGGTTAGGTTAGGTTAGGTAGCCGAAAAAGTTAGGTTAGGTTAGGTTGGGTAGGTTAGGTAGTCGAAAAACAATTAATTCATGAAACTTGGCTTATTAGGCAAATCGGGCCTTGCATAGTAGGCTGAGAAGTGCGTTCTGGCTACTAGGTACGACATATATATATATATATTATATATATATATATATATATATATATATATATATATATATATATATATATATATATATATATATATATATATATATATATATATATATATATATTGGTGTATACTGGCAACAGGTTTTCTTTCAAACATGTTTCATTGAATATGACCGCATATTCTGTATTTATAATTTTCTGGTTTAGGGTTCTATCCCTCTAACTATTTTCTTAGCATCAGGGCTTAGTTGAAATAGGAGTTCTCCAAAACTCATTTTCGTACTTTTAAGGTGAAGGAAAGAAGTGATTTACTATAGAATGCATTATACTTATTTATACAATTTGCACAACGTTTCGAACCTCCATGGTTCATTCTCAAGTGAAGCGATTTTACAGGGCTAGTTGATTTTATACCCGCACTGGGTCAGGTGATAAGACAATAAAGGTGAAAACATGGGGGGATACATAAGGGATAAATGTGGGGTGAAACATAAGAACATAAGAATAGAGGTAACTGCAGAAGGCTTATTGGCCCAACTAGCCCTGTAAAATCGCTTCATTTGAGAATGAACCATGGAGGTTCGAAACGTTGTGCAAATTGTATAAATAAGTGTAATACATTCTATAGTAAATCACTTCTTTTCTTCACCTTAAAAGTACGAAAATGAGTTTTGGAGAACTCCTATTTCAACTAAGCCCTGATGCTAAGAAAATAGTTAGAAGGATAGAAGCCCTAAACCAGAAAATTATAAATACAGAATATGCGGTCATATTCAATAAAATATATATATATAAACTGGCATTTCTACATGAAATGATAATGCTATCCATTTCATTATGTATGAGTTAATTTGTTTAAATTTGAGTTAGAACTAACGTTGATATATGACCGAACTTAACCAACCCCTACCTAACCTAACCTAACCTATCTTAACCTAACCTAAACTAATTCAACTAAGTCAATTAGGGCAGATTCAATTAAATTCCGTTCCACAAAGTCATTGCAATTGGCAATGTTTTTCGCCCCATCCCAATTAATAGCGTAATCACACAAACTTGTATGTAGATACAAAGCATTAGATGTTTGGGCAGTTCTTATACTATAAGCATTTTGGGACATACGTAATTGTAAGGATTTTCCTGTTTGTTCAAGGTACACAGACTCACAATCATTGCAGGGAATCGAATACACACAACCTGCTGTACCAGGGAAGGTTTTTATTAAATTAGACTTGATCGTATTATTAGTGAACACCAAATTGATATTAAGGTTCTTAAAAACTGGGGAAAGTTTCTCAAATCCCATCGCATAAGGTACCACCAATGAGTTTCTATTATCTGGTTTCGCTTTGGGTCCCTAGTCGACTACCATGCCCTGCATCTTATTAATCTCCCCAGCACTAAGCTGAAAGCTTTAGAGAAAATTCAAACTGAAATTATGAGGATAATTCTTGAAGCCACCAGATGCACAAGAATAATCAACATGAGGGAGGAGCTGAAACTCTCAACCATATGTGAAAGAATTGAGCAGTTCAATACCACCTTCTGTGTAAGGGTCATGAGAGATCCACCATCACCCACACTCCTTAAGAAACTGATTGGTGATGTTTGTACACGTGAAAGTGTTGCGAACACACCAATGGGCAACCTATATGCAAATTGGTTGATTAGAAGTGTTGCCAAGCTCATTAACTTATTATATGCAATGTGCTAATTAACCATATTCTATTATATCTGTACCCTGAAATACAAGTGTCTTACACATCCATCAGCAAAACCCAGCACTCCTCAAAGCAACAACAGTTGAAACTATTGATTTCTTTGTAAACAACTTACGGCCTCACGAGCACTATGCTTACGCTGATGGATCTGTTCAAATGTCAACAGGTCGCACTGCAGCAGCCTGTAGAATATACAAAGACAACACATGTACACAGACCATTAAGTGTGAGACAGAATAACTGATTTGGCTCCACACATACAGAATTAACTGCACTACAGCTTGCCCCTAATGCACTGAAAAAAGAGTGAAAGTAATTTTATGAGCTTGAAAATCAGCTCATCAAGCACTGAAAACCCAACATGCAAAATAGATACTACGAATGGTGTAATATCCATTATAAACATCATTAATACACAAAGCAAGATTTTGTCTCATTTGTTTGAATACTATCTCACATAGGTGCTGTCCAGCATGATGACAGACAAGGCAGCTAAAACTGCATGTGATAAGCCTGAAATTTAGATAGATATGTGCACCCCAATCTGTTATAAAAGCTGCAGTATTTCAGGAAATATGGGATGACAGAAGAGAGTGTCAGACACACAAGCCAGAAAGCACGAGTATAAAGACCTATTACATGTTTAGAACCGAGAATTATATGTACGGGCATCATAAAATATCCATTAGACAGTGTGACATTGTAATTGCCGGAGAGTGGAGTGGAATTGCCAATGGTGAACATTCCAATTGTAAATTATGTGAACAAGAACTGGGACATACTCTCCAAAACTATATCTATGATTGCCCTGTTATAAGTGACTTCAGACCAAATGGTATGAGGTACTTTGAGCTCTGTAATTACCTCATACACTCAAGAATATTGGAAGATATTCTTATGCTTTACCCAGATTTTGCTAGTGGAGGCTAATAGATCAATCAGTCTTACACTTTATGGTCTCACCTGATTTTTAGTCAGGTGAGAACCTGATTTGGTTTGATTGAGTTGATTTGTTTTTGTATTTTGGCTGGCATTTTCTCCCCTGATTCCATGTATGACTAACCATCCTGTGAGATGGGAATATTAGAAGAACTTATAGCTAGCTTTTAATCAACACTGTGTAATCTTTCCTATAGAATAGGGTAGCAGCACATTGCTGTGTATACCTAAGTTTGTTAATAAGTTTCGGCTCCTACGGATTTTCTCATTGATACATCACGTTAGTGTCATTACTCTGATTATTAATATTAATATTATTATTATTATTATTATTATTATTATTAGTAGTAGTAGTAGTATTAGTATTAAAGTTATTAAATTATGGTGGGCTCTCGGATAACTCAATTTCTTTCATTATTATGCACCCCATACCCATCCCGTGGGCGGTGGTGTAAAGGATTACAGAGGCACATAATCGGTTCAGGAACTGAGCCCTCTAGTTCGTTTAGCTAAGCAAATAACAATCTTTTGACGCTAGTTACAAAATTATTAATGTTATATATGCATGTACACATACTCATGCATACATGTACATATACATACGTATACATATATACATACACATACATATTTAATCACCCACACAAATACATACATCAATAATCTTTTGTCACAAGTGATACAACAAGAGGCTCACAACAGTCACTATACAAGGCACTTTACATCTATGGTGAGTCGCACAGTTACTAGTCTTGCTCCACACGGTTATAGAATGAGTGGGATTGGGTGGTTACAGGTAGGAGCTGCCTTGTATGGGCCAATAGGCCTTCTGCAGTTACCTTTGGTCTTATGTTCACACCCACTCAACTGGGCGGCAGCTTTACAGTCATGTGCATGCATTACCTACAGTAAGCAAATTTTGGATACTTCGCTAAGATTTCGGGCAGCACATCATTACGAATGAAGTACTTACACATTTTTTGATCACTATTGATGATGTTATCTCTAAATTCCGCGATTTTTTCACATTCCATTATATAATGACGCAAAGTATGCGAATAGTGGGATTGGGTGGTTACAGGTAGGAGCTGCCTTGTATGGGCCAATAGGCCTTCTGCAGTTACCTTTGGTCTTATGTTCACACCCACTCAACTGGGCGGCAGCTTTACAGTCATGTGCATGCATTACCTACAGTAAGCAAATTTTGGATACTTCGCTAAGATTTCGGGCAGCACATCATTACGAATGAAGTACTTACACATTTTTTGATCACTATTGATGATGTTATCTCTAAATTCCGCGATTTTTTCACATTCCATTATATAATGACGCAAAGTATGCGAATAGTTCTGCTGACAGAGTTTACATTTAGTTAGTTAGTTTAGTTCATTTAATATGCACCCCATACCCATCTTGTGGGCGGTAGTGGAAAGGGTTACAGAGGCACATAATGGGCTCAGGGACTGAACCCCACAATTCATTTAGCTAAGCAAGTTACATCCCTCATATTATAGGGTACAAAATAAATGGACGAATCTTTCTTAAAAAAAATATAAATTAACAATAATTTATGGAAGAAACGTGTAGTGTAGAAACGTTTGTGTTATAGAGCAAGGCAGTGTGTGTGTGAGAGTGAGAGAGTGAGAGTGAGAGCAGACGAGCAGTGATGCTCCCACAGCCATTGTCACCACAGTACTGTGTGTTCTGCCTCTCATCACCTCTACAAGACAATAACTTCAATATAATCACAAAGGAAAGAACGTGAAGACAGAAGTCAAAGAGTGTTGAACTAGACATTACACTTGGAGTCCAACAATAACATTAGGACGAGTGGTGGCAGTAGAGGAGTGGTTGGTTGTAGGTGCTGGACAAGAGGAAGCTTGGTGGTGGTGGTGAACTGTATGTTTGTTCAAGTGAACACTGGCGCAGAATATGGCTGACTCAGAAGAGGAGGTGGATTATATGTCAGCTGACTTCTTAGCTCAGTGGTGGGTGTTGTCTCCTGGTGTTAATACCACCCTTGGGGCCCCACACTGCTTCTTAAGGCATCTACTTAAGTTTGTTTTGTTTTTAAACCTTTAACTATAGTATTATCGACCGATTTTATGTATTTAATGATTCGATTTATTTTTGTGTAAAATTAGGTTTGAGTTTTCTAAAAGAGCTACAATCAAATCGCACATGGGCATTTTAATAAAGCCCAATTTCTAATTGTCAAAACCCTCTATATCATAAAAGCCAATCTGTGTTAGGTTAGATTAGGTTGGGTAGATTTAGGTAGGGTTGCATTGGTTGGGTTTATGTATGTATGTATGTTTATGTATGTCATTGGTTTGGTTAGGGTTGGGTTAGGGTTAGGTTAGGTTAGGTTAAATTAGGTAAGGTTAGGTTAGGTTAGATTCATGGAGGTTAGGTATCTTCTTTCTTGAGATTATCTTGAGATGATTTTGGGACTTAGCATCTCCACAGCTCAGTCCTCGACCGTGCCTCCTTTTTGTTACACACCCCCAGGAAGCAGCCTGTAGCAGCTGTCTAACTCCCAGGTACCTATTTACTGCTAGGGGAACAGGTGCATCAGGGTGAAAGAAACTGCCCATTTGTTTCCACCTCCGCTGGGAATCGAACCTGGACTCTTAGGACTATGAACCCTTTATGGCTGTCCACTCAGCTGTTAGGCCCCCTATTTAAATTATATATATAATATTTTGCAGTCCCTGTGGTGTAGTGGTAAAGCACTCGCCTGGCGCTTCACGAGCGCTTTGGCCTGGATTCATATCCTGGCTGAGGAGGACTGACCAGGTGCCAATCCTTAACTGTAGCCGCTGTTCACCCAGCAGTGAATGGCTACCTGGTTGTTAAACGATTTGGTGAGTCGTATTCTGACTAGTAATAAAAATAAAATACTTTGGCTTAATGAACTGCAGAATGTTTGACGTGTGCTGTGAAGCAAAAAGTCATAAAAAAAGTACAGTAATGCAGATTATTCGTGGATCAGGAGAGTATTTACTGGGTTTAAAAACGGTCCCAATTCTAATATCGTGCTATATTGTTGCTCCTCTTCAAACACCTAACCTAATGTAAATAATAGTATTTGGTGTTTTATATTTATAATATAATTGTTTACTCTATATACAAGATGTAATTCCTTATGTGTAATTACACGATGAAAGCTACGCTCGTGTTGTCCTGTCTTTCCAACAGAGTACTCTTCAGTCGTGTGATGCTTTGAAACTGCTAATGGGCCTCGTAGCCTGGTGGATAGCGCGCAGGACTCGTAATTCTGTGGCGCGGGTTCGATTCCCGCACGAGGCAGAAACAAATGGGCAAAGTTTCTTTCACCCTGAATGCCCCTGTTACCTAGCAGTAAATAGGTACCTGGGAGTTAGTCAGCTGTCACGGGCTGCTTCCTGGGGGTGGAGGCCTGGTCGAGGACCGGGCCGCGGGGACACTAAAGCCCCGAAATCATCTCAAGATAACCTCAAGATGGTTTTGGCATCCACCGGTGCTACATAGTCTTCTGGCTTGATGCCTTCTCTTGATAATTACTTACTTTTAGCATTCACCACCTTTTTTGCTTGTTCCAACCATCTATGAATGCAGAAGAAAACTAATATTTTTTCAGCACCTTTGTTTCCTTAGCTTGAATTTATTTCCTCTGTTCTTAAAGTTGCAGGTTTCAAGAATTTCTGTTTGTCAATTTTGTTACTATTTTATATATAGTGATCATATTGCTGCTATTAGGACAATATCCAACTCTGGCCCCAGACATTACTCGGTACCCCTACTCAAATCTCTGAATATGTTAGATATTAAGTCACTGCACATTCTCTCATGTGTATTATACATGTATAAAATGCTGAACTGTAATGCCAATCCTGACCTCAAAAGCTTCATTGAAGGTTGTAACAGAACCCATGAGCACCACACCAGAAATAAATACAGTTTTGATATTCCATGAGTACGACTTAATCAATCTAGAAATGCTCTGCAGATCAAGGGACCCAGAATGTGGAATGACCTTCCCGACCATGTTAAAGACTGTACCTCACTCAACCAGTTTAAGATAAAAACAAAGCACTACCTAATAAATTCCCTGTAACCTACCTTACCCCTCTTTGTCAACCCAAGAATGTTTTTTTTTAAACAACGCTGTTTGTTCGACCTAATTGTATCTGTGCTGCTTTTTCAGCCATGTTCCCCCCTATTTATCTTCATTTTTTATTTGTTCTCAACACATTTTATTCTTTATACTCAATTAGTATTAAGCTTTAGTCAATAATGTTTTTCATGCCCGAAACGCTTTGCGTAATAGTGGCTTTAGGCATTGTACGTACTAGCTCTATCTATAAATCGATCAATCTTTGTAAAATCTCTTGTATGTATGTACCTTACCTAAATGAACATTTATTATTTATTATTAATATGCTTCATACAATGCTCCTCATACAATGTACAGCCTCCTTCCAACTGCTGATTTAGATGTTATTGCAGTGTGGCTCATCTTTGGTTCTACTGCTGCAGGTGCTAGTGTTCTGAGGTTCGTGCTCCTGGTGAAGGTAAGAATTCCAAAGTGCCAGTGTCTCCTAAATTCAGTGGAAGGCCTATTGGGGCTCTCAATGTTGGCCCCGTCTGTGCATCCTATTGATGGTGGCCCTGTACAGTACAGTACAGTATCTGGTAATGTCCCAAGGTGGTATTGGGCATGTGTGGCTTTGGGTCAGCTGACTCTGAGCTAATCTCTTCATGGTTACAGGCTGCTCTTCCATTCTTTACATGGTAAACCCTTGTATTTGTTTTTTGTTGGGAATTAGCTTGGAGAGCTACCAAAGGGAGCCCTCCCAGAAATCCAGTGTTGAAAGTACATACAGTACTGTAATGTATTGTCTCTTTCTGATAGATTCTTCAGTGGGTTCCCATTCCCGCTTTGCCCTCGGTTTCATGAAGTTTTTAGGGATTATAGCTTGGAGTGGTACGTGCATGACTAGGGTGACTGGCAGGCACTCTTTGGGTCAACATCTGGTGGCAAATGAGTGTTGCTAACTAGCAACACACAGAGTTCATATCAGGGTTGGTAATGTTGTCCATGCAGTTGCTTGTTTTGGTGTGCTTTATCTTTTATGTAACAAAAATGAAAGAAATGCTTACTCTCTCATCTCCCAACAAAATAAAGAAATTCTACCACATTATGAGTGGGTGTTTAGACAACAACAATGATCATTTGCTTCATTACGTGCAAATATACTTTATTTTCTTTAACCTGTTGCTTGTTTTGTTGTGCTAATACTGTCTGGTGTGTTTCCTTCTTGGCTTTAGGTTCATCTCGGATCTCCAAGCTCCCCTTAACTTGTTAAGAGCCAGATGCTGGTCCTGGCTCCTGGTAGGCAACAGTGAATCTGAAAGGTCTAGTGCATCTCCTTAAGGCTTGCAGGACTGGCATTTAGCTCGGGGAGCTACCGAGGTTCACACCAGAAATGGCAGTTTCATTACATTCAATGCTTGATTTAACATTTTAATCATATTCCTATATCTCTTTTCATTTAGGTAAGAGAATACAGTCAACTTATGCTGTTCATGCTTAAATAATTTTGGTTTATTTGCATTCCTTTTCTTGATGATGATTTTTCAGTGTTGGGAAGGATGACATCAGACCAGGACTTATGTATTCCCATTCCTCCAAACGTCAAGCAGAGATGGAGAAGAAAAAGAGAAAGAAGGATAATGAGCAACGGTCAAGATTTAAATCTGTGAAAGAAGTACAGAAAGAGCGCTTGGAGGAAGGTCTTGGCACTGCTATTAGCTCTTCAAATATAGGCTTCTCAATGCTTCAGAAAATGGGATACACTCCGGGAACAAGCTTGGGAAAACAGAGTAAGTCTTATTTATGGAATAGGGTTCTATTTTTACAGAATACAGTAGTTTGTAACAGTTTATATGAAAAGCTGATATTTTTAATCACTTTGTATCTAATACAGTACACAATTTGTGACATACCATCAGGATACCAAGTGTGGAGTGTCTCCTAAGTGTTGTTGTAATTTCCCTTTTTTATAACACCCATTTTAGTTACGGTATATTAAGTTAAGTTTGCTGGTCAGATTTTAATCACACATTGCATTACACAGTTTAACGCTATATAGAATTAATCTCACGTGTGTCATCATGAAGCAGTTCCTGTTCATCTTTTCCTCTCTTTGAATTGTCTCGCATTTGCAGATCAGGGACGATTAGAGCCTGTTTCTGTTGAGGTGAAATCAGATCGTGTGGGCTTGGGATGGCAGGAAATGATCAAAGACCATCGTAAGAAAAGGGAAGAAAGAAAACTACAAAAACGAAGCAAGCATAAAGATGACGCAGATCCTGAAAAATTTAGGTCGGTGAATTTTTAAATGATGTAGTAGTAGTCAGAAATGTGTGTCAATTCTGCATATACATATTGTTGTATGTTCTTCATAATACTTTTTCCTTGAGGAGCAAGGGTCTGGGGATTCAAGTTCAGTATGTGTAATGCACTAAACATAAATGTATACAATTTATCTCAAATTTTTCTGGAGATTGTTAATTTCTACTCTCTGTGCATCCCTGATGGCTTGAGTTTCTAGGCTATTGCTGCTTGCAGCCTGTAAACCAACATTGCTATAAAATTCTGGTTGACCAAAGGCCTGTAGAAAATAGCTCTTTCTGTAGGCTTCAAGATCTTTGCTTGCTGGAGCAAGATGAGATATTCTGAAGAGTACTTCACTCATAACATTGAACACACTTTAACTGCAGAACTGATTAATTTCTGTGATGAACAACTGGAATAATGCAATGACTTTTTCTTTTAGTTTATATTGAGTTACATTATTTTATGTTCAGTACTCAGTGCTGAATATGTATCTAATTCATTGTGTTGGGACAGCCAGCCACTGTATATATAAATGTTAGGCTTATGTTAAGATCCCCTCCTCCCCCCAAAGTCAAACTACTCACCCTCCCCAGGATGCAACCCCCACAACATGCTGACTAACTCCTGAATACCCATTTACTGCTAGGTGAACAGGGGGCATTAGAGGATAGGAAATGCTGCCAACAATTTCTGCCCCGCCCGGGATTCAAACCCTGTATTCCTAATTGTGAGTCGAGAATGAACCCGACTGTACTACTGGAACCCCATCCAGCTTTAACACCATGGTTCTTTAGGACTTGTTAAGCCTTAACTGATGGACGAAGATTCCAGAATCTTCTCATAATGATTTTATATTTTAAGTGATTACGAGGTAGCATCTGCTAGATTTGTAAAATATATCTACTCTGGTATGATGTATGTATGTATGTTCTTTTTAGTCATTGAATTTGGATTTTATTGTTGGAACTCGTTCTGTGATGGGATTTAGGCTGGGGTCATTTGCTACAGTGAGGGCAATTTTAGCTCTAGGTTAGTTATGGCTATAGAGTACTTTACATGGTTACTGTGAATTTTGCTTGGGTTAGGTTGGGTTTGTAATTGAGGCTTGTTTTAAATTAAGTTATTTTCTGGTTTGAGCCCCCTTGTGGCTCCCTGAAGCTATCATCTCTGATGTGTAGGTGCCATCAGTCATGGAGTTCTTTGGCCTACCAGGGACCCAGAGCTAGAACCTGGTCTCCCTCACAGAGGCACAGGAAGCCATTTATATATAAAGTTATTCATATATGCCACCACTGAGGAAGACAACCAGAAAGTCGGTGAGACAAAAACCACAGCCGACTTCCTCCGAGACCTGCAGACTCGAAGATGGCCATAGAACTTTGCAAACTATGTAAACAAATGATTGAAAATGTTATGAATCTAGCACCTGTTCATTTGGCCCACACTTCCACTCACTAGGGAGGGGAGGGTGGGGAGTACAAGGTAGGTGGCAGCCACGGCTCACAGGCTGCTTTGCCGTCAGTTTTGCTCTGCTGTTTGCTGGTGCCAGGTCTGCCACTGTCACTCGGGTTTCAGTTTTTTTCTTGGATGGTCTTTTGCTCTCATAGCTGTTCCTTGTTTTTTTGTGTGTGTGTTGAACAGGAGTTTAGTGCACTTGGAGCTGCACGTGTTCAGGGTTTCCTTCCCTTCTTTTCTGGCAAAAATTGAGTCTGTTGGTGTCTGGAAGGATCCATTGGTTGATGATGTTTGATTGCTTTGGCTTGGGGTGCATCATGTTTTGCGTCTGGTGGCAGCTCTCTGTCGCTATCTTCATGCCACTGCTTCTACATCAGTGGATGCCTTGTGGATTGATCCTGTTTTCTTGATCCCCTTTTCCAAGGTCCATCTTTCTCAGGTCGTCTACAGTGTCATTGAGTCTAGCCAGCCTGTAGTCTACCCTTGTGCCCATGACATTAATATGATATGCCACTTTCAGCTGTTTTCACTATTATGTCCTGGGGCTGCTATATGGACACGGGTTTTGGAGGTCGTCCAGAGTTCAGGCAGCCCGGTAGCTAGTCAGTGTTCCTGGGCCTAGGCGCCTGTTTTGTCTTTGGTTGGCTTCCTTGGTCAACTGTCTCTTTCTGTGGGGGAAAGGGAGCCTCTGGGGCTCGCCCAGAGGGCGTTTCATTTCTGTTTTTTCGTTCTGATACCTGCAGTGCTTCCTCCTCCCTGTTAAGTGCCCCTGTATTCCTTCCCCATGGGTAGTTAACTTCAGGGAGCCATAAGGTGCATTCCCCAGAAAACCAGCATTGAATGTAATGAAACACCAATATCTGGGCGAACCCTAGTGGCTCCCTTACACCTGACCCACCCAGGGAGTCGGACTTCTGCCATCATTTGTCGAACCGACGGTGGAGTGGCCTGTGAGCTGTGGTCTGTTCCCTCCTTCCCACAAACGATGGGGGGATGGGTGGGATAAATGAGTGGGCGCTAGTTTATAACATTTTCGATCATTTGTTTACATAGTTTGGGGAGTTCTATGGCTGTTTTCGAGTCTGCAGGTCTCGGAGGCAGCCAGCTGTGGTTTGTATTGTCATGTTGACTTTCTGGGTGCCTTCCTCTATGGTAGCATAAATGAAAAACTTAATATATAAATGCCATGGCTTCTTCTACCTCTGTGAGGGAACCAGGCTCTGGGTCTTTGGTAGGCTAGAGAACTCCGCAACTGATGGCAACTAGTAGATGGTACCTACATCAGAGATGGTAACTTCGAGGAACAACCGGGGCTCACCCAGATTAACACTTTCGCGCTTTAGATTAGAGATAACTCGTCACCGTTTTTTCTTACGATTCCGCATAACAGACTACTTTTGTAGTCCATCGAAAAAATATTTCTATAAATTCCATTTTCTAACCGAAATGGATGGGGATACTCTCAGATTTTTCTCCATGAAATTCCCGTTCTCCCTCACCGAACACATGGCATCTCGGCATCATTTTGATCAAATGGTCAAATATTATGAGTTTGCAAGAAAAACCCACAAATGGACCAAGAAGATCACTTTCTATTTTCTGCAAATGGCCATGCACAATGCATACGCATTGTATAACCACTACTCAACAGATACAAAAAAACTAACACTATTAGAGTTTCACGCAGTAGGAATAAAAGCCTTATTGGCGTGGAACAGCGAGGAATGGCCAACAACAACAAGCATACCACATGTTCCCGACATAGATGCCAGCGCAGCTCCTCCTGCTGACGCGGCAGTTTCAACACCCGGCCCATCTGGTGCGAGGCGTCCTCTGTTCACCTCAACACCTCAAGCCCACTCATCAACCACAAATTCTGAAATGGACATTGAGGACATAGAACCACTTGATGTTTCTGATTTCATAGAAGATTCTACTACAAGTTTGGTGGTTCCTGTAGAAGACAATATTCCTCCAGTGCATCCAAGAAATACAAGAATTATAGATTCAGAACAACGTCTCAACTACAAGTTGACGCATGAACTCGTGCACTTGGCTAAAAAAAGAAGATGCCGTGTTTGTTTCAAGTCTGGCAAAAGGAGGGACGTGATATATGGATGTAAAACTTGTGATGTGGCACTGTGCGCTGCGCCTTGCTACACAAGGTACCACCGAAGAAAGATATTTTGGGTGGAGAAAAAATAACCACCGGCAACAGCTTCACTCCACCTAAGAAACATCAGATGAGCAACTTCAGGATCAGAAGCCTGAAGATGGTGGAGTGAAGAAAAAATGCTCAACTGTTGATCTTCAATCAACATAGACAGGGTAAGTACACCTATTTGGAATTTTTTATCATCTATAAGAAGTTATATTATATACGTTTTGTAGAGAATTTATTTGCGAATTTTTTGGTACCAGAATGAATATTATATCACATAAACTTCTATGAGTAAAAAAAAAAAAAACAAAGTATGTTTGGGGGTCTGGCGGGTGTGGCTCTGGGTGTGGCGGGCGTGTGGCAGTGGGTTCCCTTTAGCCGTTGATATATCCAACACGTGGGAAATATTTGTATGTGTTATGTATATGTCTGTGTAGGGAATTTTACTGCGATCACTGTCATACAAATTATAAAATGTTTCAACAAGTATAAACATGACAAACATCAAACGAACGAAAACAATGCGTTCGTTTCTGCCGCGAACGCATACTGAGCGACGTGGTTCTATATTTGGCGCTTCTCTTACACATGCTTTGTACAATTGTTATACATTTCATCTTATAGAAAATTTTATTGCGAACACATTGGTATAAAAAAGAAATACGTACATAGAAAAGTAGGGTCAGGAAACGTATAAATGTATAAACTTTCCAAGCATGATTTCCCCCCTGTGTTTTCACCAGTGCGCTCGCGGCTAACTACTCTCCACTTCACACACTCTTGCGGGTGGGCAATTACCTATATTAAACATTCATATGCATATGTCCGTGTAGAGAATTTTATTGCGATTCCAATGATACCAAAATTAGCGATGTAGGACAACTGTAGGCTTCGCAACCATTAAGAGAGTGGAAACATTTTGTTGCTGTTTGGCACTCTCGGCGAGTGATCTGCATAGTTTTTTATTTGGTGTTGATACTCCTTGTGCTTGGGCGGCATTTTATAGGTATGCTCTTATAGACAATTTCATTGCGAACACAGTGATACCAAATTTAAATACGTGCGCCTTCAATTATTGTCAGGACAGTCAAAAGAGTGTACACTTTTTCGGTCTTACCGCGTAGGCGCGCGAAGTGCCGAAAGCATCTGGGGTATTGATTTTTTTTGAGCACCGAGAGCGCGAAAGTGTTAACCTGCTGTGAAAATTTGGGGCTTGGCCTCTAGTATCTTCCATGTACAGTATATATTATGTGATACCTCTCTCATCTCCTTTCCACAGAGTACATCTTGAGAGCTTTGAGAAGGTTGATACCTGGTTGATGGAGTTCTGGGAGTTCTTCTACTCCCCAAGCCCGGCCCGGGGCCAGGCTTGACTTGTGAGAGTTTGGTCCACTAGGCTGTTGCTTGCAGCGGCCCGCAGGCCCACATACCCACCACAGCCCGGTTGGTCCGGCACTCCTTGGAGGAATAAATCTAGTTTCCTCTTGAAGATGTCCACGGTTGTTCCGGCAATATTTCTTATGCTTGCTGGGAGGACGTTGAACAACCGCGGACCTCTGATGTTTATACAGTGTTCTCTGATTGTGCCTTTGGCACCTCTGCTCTTCACTGGTTCTATTCTGCATTTTCTTCCATATCGTTCACTCCAGTGCGTTGTTATTTTACCGTGTAGATTTGATACTTGGCCCTCCAGTATCTTCCAGGTGTATATTATTTGATATCTCTCTCGTCTTCTTTCTAGTGAGTACATTTGGAGGGCTTTGAGACGATCCCAATAATTTAGGTGCTTTATTGCGTCTATGCGTGCCGTATATGTTCTCTGTATTCCCTCTATTTCAGCAATCTCTCCTGCTCTGAAGGGGGAAGTGAGTACTGAGCAGTACTCAAGACGGGACAACACAAGTGACTTGAAGAGTACAACCATTGTGATGGGATCCCTGGATTTGACAGTTCTTGTAATCCATCCTATCATTTTTCTGGTTGTCGCAATATTTGCTTGGTTATGCTCCTTAAACGTTAGGTCGTCAGACATTATTATTCCCAAATCCTTTACATGCTGTTTTCCTACTATGGGTACATTTGATTGTGTTTTGTACTCTGTTATTATGTTTAAGGTCCTCATTTTTACCGTACCTGAGTACCTGGAATTTATCACTGTTAAACATCATGTTATTTTCTGATGCCCAGTCGAAAACTTTATTAATATCAGCTTGAAGTTTTTCAATGTCTTCAGCTGAGGTAATTTTCATACTGATTTTTGTGTCATCTGCAAAGGATGATACGAAGCTGTGACTTGTATTTTTGTCTATATCTGATATGAGAATAAGGAAAAGCAGCGGTGCAAGGACTGTACCCTGAGGTACAGAGCTTTTAACTGCACTTGGACTAGATTTTATATGGTTGACCGTTACTCGCTGAGTCCTGTTTGACAGAAAACTGAGTATCCAGCGTCCTACTTTACCGGTTATTCCCATTGACTTCATTTTGTGTGCTATCACGCCATGGTCACATTTATCGAAAGCCTTTGCGAAGTCCGTGTATATCACATCAGCATTCTGTTTTTCTTCTAATGCCTCAGTGACTTTATCGTAGTGCTCAATTAGCTGTGAGAGGCACAATCTTCCCGCTCGAAATCCATGTTGGCCTGGGTTGTGAAGGTCATTGGTCTCCATGAAATTGGTGACCTGACTCCTAATCACTCTCTCAAATACTTTTATGATGTGCGATGTTAGTGCAACTGGTCTATAATTCTTTGCCAATGCTTTGCTCCCTCCCTTGTGTAGAGGGGCTATGTCTGCTACTTTAAGTGCATCTGGTATCTCCCCCGTGTCCAAGCTCTTCCTCCACACTATACTGAGTGCCTGTGCTACCGGCACTTTGCATTTCTTTATAAATATTGAATTCCATGAGTCTGGACCTGGGGCCGAGTGCATGGGCATGTTTTCAATTTCTCTTTCAAAATTTAGTGCGCTCGTGTTGATATCAGTTATATTTACAGGGGTTTGAATATTCCGCATAAAGAAATTGTCTGGATCTTCCACTTTCATGTTGTTTATTGGAGTGCTAAACATGTCCTCATACTGCTTTTTTAGGATTTCACTAATTTCTTTGTCATCCTCCGTGTATGAACCTTCACTTGTACGAATAGGTCCAATACTGGCAGTGGTTTTTGCTTTTGATTTCGCATATGTGAAGAAATATTTTGGATTTTTCTTTATTTCCTGAATTGCTTTCTGTTCTAACTACCTTTCTTCAGTTTCATATGAGTGTTTCAATTTCCGCTCGATTTCTTCAATCTCCCTATTTAAATTATTCCTTCTTTGACGGGAAATTCGTGTCTCCATAAGCAGTTCCGTTATTTTTTTCCTGCGTTTATAGTGTCGTCTGCGTTCTCTTTCTACGTTAGCTCTCTTTCTGGCTTTCCTCAAAGGAACATGTTTCAGACAGACTTGATACACTTCCGAAGTCAGTTTTTCTATTCCTTCTGTAGGACTTGTATTACTTAGAACAGTTTCCCTTGGAATGTTTGTAAGTTCCCTGTTTATTATCTCCCAGTCTATCCTTTTATTATTAAAACTGAATTTATTGAATAGCCCCTCTTGCTTTATCAACGTTTTAGGTCTATTCTGAGTATTGATGGTCGTTTACACTTCAATGAGCTTGTGATCTGAGTATGTGGTATCTGATATCGTAATGTCTCTGATAATGTCTTCATTGTTCGTAAAGACCAGATCTAGAATATTTTCATTTCTCGTTGGCTCCGATATCTGCTGATTGAGTGAAAATTTGTCAGAGAATTTAAGTAGTTCTCTAATCTGTGGTTGGTTAGATCCTGATAGATTTCCTGGTATAATATTATTGTTTGCTATTTTCCACCTGAGAATAGGCAAGTTGAAGTCACCTAGGAAGATAATATCAGGTATCGGGTACTCCAAATTATCAAGGCTATTCTCTATTTTGTTTATCTGTTCTGTGAATTCCTCAGCCGTTGCATCTGGCAGTTTGTATATTATAATAATCACTAAATTTATTTTCTCTATTTTTAATCCCAGTACCTCTACCACCTCATTTGTAACGTTTAGGAGCTCCGAGCATACAAGGTCTTCCCTAATATACAGTCCCACTCCTCCATGTGACCAAATTTTCCTATCACACCTGTATAGGTTATATCCTGGAATCCAGATCTCACTGTCCAACAATTTCCCTGCATGGGTTTCTGTGAAAGCTCCAAATACTGCATTTGACTCCGTAAGGAGGCCATTTATGAACTGTACTTTGTTGTTTGTTCTTGTTTTCAGTCCTTGTATGTTGGCAAAGATGAATGAGGTTACTCTATTAGTGATAGTTTGAATGGGAGACTTTTTCGGCAAGCCCATTATGCGTTGACATAGGCATGGACATAAACTACTGGGAAGGTCCCAGTAGTTTAGGTGGTTTATCGTGTTCATGCTCTCTGTATTCCTTCTATTTCAGAAATCGTTCCTGCTCTGAAAGAGGAAATGAATACTGAGCAATACTCTAGCTGGGACAGCACCAGAGATATAAATAGAATTAGCATTGCTGTAGGGTCCCTGGATTTGAACTTCTCATAATTCACCCTATTATTTTCCCGGCTGTTGCTATATTTGCTCAGTTATGTTCACTAAATATCAGGTTGTCAGACATCATAATTCCCAAATCTTTAACATGTTGTTTTTCTTGAATTTCTGACTATGTCTTGTATCCTGTGTTTCATTGAAGTTCCTCGTTTCCACCATACCCAAGTGCCTGGAACTTATCACTGTCAAACATCACGTTATTTTCCCTTGCCCATTGAAAGACTATTAATATTGGCTTGTAATTTTTCAGTGTCTTGTACAGAGGAAGTTTTCATGTTAATTTTTGCATCTTCAGCAAATGATGACACGAAGCTGTTGCTAGTATTTTTCTCTGTATACGAGATAAGAATGAGCAAGAGCAGTGGTGCAAGGACTGTGTCCTGGGGTACAGAGCTTTTCACTGCAATTGGACTTGATCTTATTAGATTGACTGTTTTTTGCATTCTTTTTGACAGAAAATTGAAAATCCAATGCCCCATTTTACCCATTATTCCAATTGATCACATTTAATGGGCTATCATCACACTTATCAAATGCCTTAGCAAAATCTGTGTATACAACATCTGCATTTTGTTTTTCTCATGACATTTATGCGAGTGTCATAGTGATTGAGTAGTTGCGAAAGACAGAATCTTCCTGCTCTAAATCCCTGTTGATCTAGATTGTGAAGTTTATTATTTTCTGTAAAACTGGAGATTTGATTTCTAATCACTTTAAAAAACTTTTGTTATATGTGATGTTAGTGCAACTGTCTATAGTTTTTAGCCAAGGCTTTGCTACCTCCCTTGTGCAGTGGAGCAATATCTGCTGATTTAAGTGTTGCTGGCATCTTCCCTGTATCCAGGCTCCTTTCTCCATATTATACCGAGTGCTCGTGCTACTGGTACTTTACATGTCTTAATGAATATAGAGTTCCACGAGTCCAGACCTGGGGCTGATTTCATAGGCATGCTGTCAAATTTGCTTTCAAAGACTTGTGTGTTTGTGTTAATATCAGTTACATTGTCTGTGGATTTGGATGGCCTTTAATAAAGAAGCTGTCTGAGTCGTTCTCTTTCATGTTGTTTATTGGGATGCTAAACACAGCCTCATATTAGTCTTTTAGGATTTCACTAATTTCTTTGTCATCTTCTGTGTACGAACCTTCGGTTGTAAGTATAGGTCCAATACTGGAGGACTCTTTTTGATTTTGATTTTGTATATGTGAAAAATATTTGGGATTTTTCTTTATCTCTTGTATAGCTTTCTGTTCCAGTTTCATTTACTCAGACTGGTATGATTTCTTCAGCAAAAGCTTTAATACTAAAAGCTGAGTACAGTAACTGTATTTTGAGATTTAACAGGTAATATAAGTAACATTTAATTCACAACAATATTCGTCTAAAATAAAGATTTATTTATAGTTTTGGTATGTTGATGTGTTCTTATTGAAATCTGAGACATTTGTCTTTCATAACTAATTTTATTTATAACAGGGCAAGGCTGCACCTTCAAAGGATAGAAAAATTTATACAACAGGACTTGAAGAAAAGCCAGCGCATCTGTCATCAAATGGACTCCAAACAGGTGAAACATTTTTAGTCCTTTTTGTATATTTTTTACTTATGTATTTATGCAGGCGATGAGTCACAATAACGTAGCTAAAGTATGTTGACCAGACCACACACTAGAAGGTGAAGGGACGACGACGTTTCGGTCCGTCCTGGACCATTTGAAAGTCGATTGTCAATCGACTTGAGAATGGTCCAGGACGGACCGAAACGTCGTCGTCCCTTCACCTTCTAGTGTGTGGTCTGGTCAACTTATGTCTTTATGTTGCAGCCCCACCAGTTGCCAATATTGGGAGTAATTAGCTATAAAACACCTGTGACGATTGGCCCACACAAACTTGAGTTGATATGCTGTGTGGAATGTTAAGGATTTTGAGAAGCAAAAGAAATTAAAAGGGGGTGAAAGTTTTTAAAGAATGAAAGTTTATTGAGCTAACTGTTGGTCGAGGTAGGTCATCCTTGGAGCCAGATGCCAGGTTGCATGCACTTCCTGTGGCTGGTTCTTCTTTGGTCGACACGTTTGGAAGGCTGGCTCATGGGGTTCGTGCCAGCCCTTTCATGAGGTGTTGCATGTGAGGCTCACTTGGTTTGCCAATATGGTCCAATGATTCGTGGGCTTTTCGGTGTCCCTTGGCCTTATTTGGTGCACTGCTAGTTCCCCCCTCTTATCCAAACCCTCATTTTCGTCCTTCTTCCAAAGATAAGCCCTAGGAGCATTTTCTATTTATCTACTTTATTCTATATATTTTGGAAATGCTGATTTCTGCTTAGGTGCCAATGTGAGTTAGCTCAAGAAGCTGCTGACGGAAATCTTCCTGAAATCATGTGTTGACAGTAATGAAATGTCTTTTTCTGGAGGGCACTTGGTAGCTTTCCATCCCCTCCCTATTCCCTTCATTTCCATGGGGGGTGTAGTACAGTGGAACCTCTATTAACGAGTGGCTCTATTAACGAGTTTTTCCAGTAACGAGCAAGCCACTCGCAGCAAATTTGTCTCTATTGACGAGCTCGCCTCTATTAACGAGTGAAACCACATGGCGCTTCCTAGCATCTCGCGGGTTCTCGCAAATTCTCGGACGCCTCCGACGCCAGTGTTGTTGTTGTATCTCACACGACAAGCATCCCTTTGGATTTATTTGAGCTTTTCTTTGGGTTTTTAGTGGTTTTGCGACTACAATTTGTAACACACGATGTCTCCAAAGAAGCTGCTTGCTAAAGATAGTGTTTTCAAGAGGAAGAAAGACACAATTATTATGGATTTCAAGAAGGAAATTATAGCAAAGCATGAGTGTGGTGTCTGTGTGATTGATCTCACAAGGAAGTATGGCAGGTCCTCATCAACAATTTACACCATTAGTAAGGGAATGAGGAGGTAAGGGAGGATGCTGCCTCTTCCACTGAGATCAGGGAAGTGTTTGGAATGTTTGAAAAGGTGAACGCATTCTTGGAAAAGCTGCCCTGATAAAGCAGTGACAACCCAGTGTGTGAAAATGTTTAATTAATTTATCACTTTGTGATAACACTTTATGAAAGTGTTATCACTTTCGCAGGTATATGTCGCTTGAACGTAACACACTTTTTTTCTCTTGAATGCACCCAAACACCGCGCTCAAGCATCATTTGAGCAAATATTTCTATAAAATCCATTACTTATCAGATCGACTTGGGGATTGTATACATGTTTGCCATGAAATTTCCGTTTTCTTTAATAACCACATTGCCTATTTAAGAAAACGGCATTGTATTGTATCTTCATGGTAAGACTATTATATTGTTGACACAACGAGTGTATTCAACGTAGTTTTTTATTTGGTGCTGGTCTAACGCATCCTTGTGTGACATTTGAAATGAAATTTGGGTGAAATTCCCAAGAAGAGAGAGTCCGCCTGACTCAGAGGTGAATTCTCCTTCCACACCATAACCCCTCTCCTCCTTCCCACCTCTCCATCGTCTCCCTCAAGCCAGCAACTACTCTTCATAAGGTAAAGTAAATATTAAAACACTACAACAAAACATTTATATTTACATGTGCAGTATTATATTTACATAAAAAAAGTCATACAAGTATGGATGTTTTTGGGAGTGGAACGGATTAAATTTATTTCCTTTATTTTAAATGGGGAAATTTGTTTCCAAAGACGAGTTTTCCAGGTAACGAGCTCGGTGCCAGAACGGATTAAACTCGTTAATAGAGGTTCTACTGTAGTTTGGTTTGGGTGGCTTGTTAACCACTGTGATGTGCCGAGTTTATTGTGATAATTTCCCCTGTGCGCACGAAATCATGTGTTCCCCAAAAATTCTTTTTTGTTTGTAAAATAATAAATTCCCTTCCCTGAACATGTCTGTAAAAATAAACACCAAATTCCACTAATTTTGGCTGTGGGGGGACGTGGACAAGGTGCGCTGTGACGTCATCACGGGCTGGTCGCCCATGAAGCTCCCCGAGGCGGTCGTGCAGGCCATTTAACCACCGCGAGTTGCCACAAATATATTTTCAATTATTTGTTCTATGTATTTCCAATGCGGTTTTATTAGTTTTTATCGTATATGATGCATATTTGTGTCCTTTATAATATGTATACAATAGAATGTTCATAATGTTCCATGGAACTGTGATACATATGTCAGTAATGTGTCCACAATAAATGTTTATTGTTGCAATATTACTTACTGTAATTTTAGTGAATTTTTAACAAGTACAGTTTCACACACTAAACAGTAACACACTGTATTACACACTCAGTACTTCGGAAGTGAGTAATAATCAATGAAGTAGTCCCTGGTACACAGCGTGACTTCGCTCTTGTTGCATCAGGTACAGATAGGTTTTCGCTTCCTGTTTCTTTGTTCTGTGTGCTTGCAAATAACGCACTCACGTACACCCTTGGCTTTAGTACTTGTAGGTGGTATGTAGCTAAGCTTGTAAAGCATAAGGTAGTCTTGAAAAGAATATAGGAAAACATCAATTTGTTAGGTAGTCTTGAAAAGATCGCTTTGTAAGGTCCCTGACTGGAAGAGTCAGTCATTCTCGGAGTGTGTCAGTCAATTTGGAAGAGATTCGGCCATTCTGGAAGAGATTCAGCTATTCTTGAAAATATCTATGGAAAACACTACCATGGAAGCCGCTAACACTGTTCATCTATGCTACTTGTATCGAATGCATCATCATTGAACCCAGAAAACGATTCATCTGTGTATCATCTATATAAATTTGAGATGGCATAGGTGGGCAAGGGTGGTGCTCAGAGCTACAACTGGATATGCTCGCTGTATCGTCCTCATAATGTGCTGTATTACTTGCATCCGACTTTTGTGTTAGGTCCTTATTGTGCCTAGCATCATCAATATCATGATCCTTATGTTCTTCAAGCAATAAGGTCTGAATTTCACCGATAGAGAGCGATCTTTCAACGCCGCGTCGGACAGATGTTTGGGAGCCAGAGGCGTGTGTGCCACCCATGGTTGCTCATTAAGTACTAACCCAGCCAGCAGCCCTAAGACATTCTGGGAATTTTTTCCAAGATGGCTGCTTCTCACTGAAGGTCCCAAGAATCCATTTCGTACCCAACCTACCACGAGCACATTTGTAACAGTAGAACTGTAATATAGAAAGTTCATAGATTTAAACATTGGAAGTTGGTAGTGACCTGACCTGACTGATAGCCTAAGGCATTCCCAAGGGATTAGTGTAGAAAACGGTGGCGCCAATTTCCTCCTGTGACGTACATTCGAACTAGGAGTATTATGAATGTATATCAGAATTATGAGGAATTATTAGTCATGGTTAAGTACTTATGTTAAAAACTAATGTAAATTGAGAATAAGGAATAAGTCTGGGACGATATCAAGGAGATGGTTGACGTCAGTAAGATTTAAAATATGCAAGACATGTGTTGTCACTGGAAAGGGTTAAAAGGGAAAATAGATACCTACCAACTTATTTGTTAAATCATGTAAAATTAGAGTAATACAAGAGCTTCTGAATATTGTAATTAACCTGGCTCGAGTATTTAGATAATTCCCATTTGTTTTGGAAGTAGAAGTCGCCTTCAGTGACAAATACGAGATTTTAGTTAATTAATAATCATTTTCAAAGATTAATCTGGCAACTAGCCTCGGGTCAGCCACGGGAAGGTCAGGCAGGCCTTGGTGGAACGAGGTAAATTTAGTGTAGGCTGAACATCAAGTGGGAACAAGACCCTCTCCCTAAAGCCAGTGGAACATCAGGCCAGGCTGCGGTATTAAGGTATCTGTGTTCTTGAGTTAGTATACTATAGAAGTCCACATTCATTGTCATAGGATTTTCATTGCTTCCGTTAAATAGGGCTTTCATTAGGGCATTTACTAAATATTATTTGATGCATAATTTTGGTTTAATAAATAGTTATAGAATTTATTGTGATTAGTGGAATTTCCCCATGTTTATTTTACTGATGAACGCAACCCTCATGTCTACACCTAGTTTCCTCATGCAAGTCAACAAGCATTTTCTTAATTAAGAAGATAATTCCCTTTTCATTTAATTTCCACATTAATGTAAAGCTTATCCCTCCTATTCATATAATTGGGGATAGAATTTCATGATATGCTTAATTGATGGTATCCTGCTTTCCATCAATTGAGAGATTTGCTCAGACATAGCAGGTGGTGGTGACGAACATTCAGAGTTTGCAGTTTAACCTAGAGGATACAGTGTCTCCGAGTTCGTGATATCTAAATGGTCAAACGTTTGGATCTCGAGGGATTGTACTGAAGGTAACTCGGTAGAACTCTGGTTTCTGTATATATTTCTTGAATTTTTCTTCATAACGACCAACATTTAACCAGTAGTGAGGTTAAAGGTTGGCCCCTGTTACAACGTTTTGGCCATTGTACGAAAAAATAAAAAGTACTTTTGTCGGTTGGCGCAGTAATGGGCGAACGGCATTTGTCGTTTGGCGCAGTTCAGTGGTTAATGAAGGGGCAGGCTGGCTAGGGCCTCATGTGACCTAGGCTGGCACTTGGTGGTGGTCAGGTGTATCCTAGTGTGTTCACCTTGTCATAAAGATTGCTTGCCTCATTACCTCTAGATACCTAATACTTGATTTTAATGTGTTATCTTTCAGTGGTAGGCAAGTACCATAAGCCAATGTGTTTTAAGTGTAAGGTCCAGGTTCATGCCATTACTCTTTCCTGAATAGGACCTGACCGTACCAGTGGAGTTGTGGTTTTGGCCAAGCTATGCTTTGAACTTTGAAGAGGAGGATGAGGAGGAGGAGGAAGACAATGGTGAGAATGAAGACGAGGAAGATGATGTTGAGTTTGAGGTTGGTATTGAATTTACACTAATTTTAAGGATAAGGTTTGTTAATTTAAATAGTCGGATTTTTAAGTAACAATTGAATAGGTTGATGGCTGTATTAATGGGGGTAAATGTAAATATAAATGTTTTTAAGATTACTACAAATAATAATAATACTGTATAATAGTAATGTAATGAATGGAAGGAGGCGCCTGACTTATGAACCTGCAACTTAGAATCATGTAATCTTATGAATAACATCCTAGCAAAAATGTCTCATTCTTAACCCTTTTACGGCTAAAGGCGGGTGAGCTCACCCCCGAGGAATTGGGGCCAAAATTAGAAAGTATCTCACTCTAGGTGACTAGAAAACTGTTTCAAAGTAATGTCCACCCAGGTCAAGGTCCTCTGAAATTCTAAATAACTGCCTGGACTTTGCAAATGCTGCCATTTGTTGGCAATAGAATCAAAGGCCTCACTAAGTGGTAGTGCCAAAAATTTGGAATTATGCTTCTTTTAAATCTGTACAATTATCACATACCTATTTCTACAACTTTTTCTGCACTGGCCCCTCTGTATATTCCCAGAGCTTACTGTGCTGACACCACATGGCTACTTCCAATGTCAGGCTCATGACATTGGCTCATGACTTGTAAGCTTACCAGGAGCCAGGTTTGACATCTGGGTCTTCAAAGAAGGGAAGGGGAGGATGTTGGTATCAAAGATCAACCCACTATCAATGTGAACCTATCATAAAGTGAGAGGACTTTGGTCTGGCTTGTTAGTGAGGTTTCTGGCTGAGGTAACAAAAGAAATGAAAAAATACTTTGAAATCCTGGCCCCTCAAAGGTGAACCTAGAAGGACCCCACACGATGCACTGTCAGAGAAATATTCATCCCATAACTGGCGAGAGTTGTCTCTGCTGATAATTTTGTGGTGGTTTTATTAGGTGGGTTGTGATGTCTTCCCCACAGTTGGAGTCTGCTTCCACTCTTGGTGGCATTCCAATTTTCCTTCTGGGAGTTTTTGGTTCCTGTGGGCTGTACTAGTACTTTTTTGTGGCTTCTGCTGCTCAGATTGAAACATTGTTTTTTCGAGGTAATCATGGGATTATTCTGGCCTCATTTATGGGGCCTTGGCTATCAGTGATGGCTGCCTTGGTTTTGAGAGCAGTGAGTTCTCCTCTCATTGCTGAACTTGTTTTAATTCAGGCTCTGTCAGTTTATGCCACTGCTGAAAGCCTCTTGTTTAAGACTTAAACGTTCTCCAGGGAGAGTCCTGTGGGTGTGGGATAGTTTGTCTTTGTTAGTGGCTGTTTCGGCTCTGTTGAGGCGGAGGGTGTGTCAACGACTGTGGCTTCTGGCATTCTTCTGGAGTCGGGGACCTTCCCTTGTTCCTTGTCATTTTGCTCTTGGGATAGTTCCAGATTTTAAGAGTTAGTTTTGAAGCATTTGCATTGCCCTTGGTTTGGTGTCTAGTTCTTTGAGTGTGGTCTTGTACTTTTGTGTGGGGATGCCTCTGTTGCCACCTACCCAGTTCCAGCTTTGCCTTCTCTGGAGTCTCTGGGATGGGCTGTATGCACTTTAGGGGTTTCTTGTCCATCTTTTATTCTGCAGGCTTCAGCAGGTGGACCTAATGGATAACTTCTGGTGCATATTGTGGGTGGGTATCAAATGCTATCAAATGCCACTGGCTTGGCATTTGATTTGCAGTCTGGTTTCCTCTCTTGCCTGAATCCCAACTCTCTCTTACTTGTTACTTGTACTTGCTTAAGTTAAACTGCATTAGCCACTTTCTGAACCATTCTTTCATTTTGTACAGGTCATCCTATGGTTTCTTTTAGTTATTCACCATATTATCCTCATAATTTTTGCATCATCTGTACTTGGATTGGCTTTAATACCAACTCCTTCCACTGATAATTTCCCACCACTCTTGGGTGTCTCTTCTTACTCTTGCTACTTGAAATACTGAAACACCTTGGCTGTCAGTCTCTCATCTCACTGTGACTGTTTTCTGTAACAATAGTTATCTTGAAGTTATCTTCAGATGATTTCAGGGCTTAGCGTCCCTGCGGCCCAGTCCTCAACCAGGCCTCCTTTTTGCTACACATCCCCAGGAAGCAGCCCATAGCAGCTGTTTAACTCCCAGATACCTATTTACTGCTAGGTAACAGGGACATCATGGTGAGAGAAACGGCCCATTTGTTTCCGCCTCCACCGGGAATCGAACCCGGAACCTCAGGACTACAAATCTGAAGTGCTGTCCACTCAGCTGTCATGACCCCTAGTTTTTAGTTTGTGTGGTACTTTAAACATTGAAACACCTTGTTATTCATGCCTATTTCTCCATTTGTTGCACTCTTCTCCTGTGGGGTATTGTGCCAATAGCTTTTTCTGACATTCCAAAAATACAGTATACACACTACCCGCCCTTATTTGTTCTGATCTCAGCTACCCAGTCATAGATGGTAGTGTTGGCCATTTCTGAATCCATGCTGGTGTTGTTATGAAAGCCCTTCTCTCCAAATGTTCTTCAAGACTCTTTCTTATGGATTTCTATAATTTAATTAGATATGTTCTTGATTCTCAATTGGGAATTCTGGGTTCGAATTCCGGTTGGGGCAGAAATTAGGCATGATTCCTATCGCCTAATGCCTCAATTCACCTAGCAGTAAATAGGTACCTGGAAGTTAGTTAACTGTTGTGGCATTGCATCCTGGGGAGGGTCAGTAGTTTGACCTTTGGGGGGAGGGGAGGGTCTCAATATCAGCCTAACATATACTGTACAAGTACTGTACATTAGCTGCTTCTCACTTGAAACAATGAATTACAGTATGGTTTTTCCCATCAATTTGCATGATATGCAAGTACTGTAAGGGGACTCTGGCTTGTAGTTTAGTGCATCCTTTTTGTTTTCCACATATTATTTTGGTGCTACATTGATGGTCTTTGAAAACTCTGGTAGTTCTCCTATTTGTAATAACTTGTTACACTTATTATCATAGTAAGAGGTCAACATAAGACTTCCACCTTTCTTAATATCCATGACAAGATCCTGTATTGTCCCACCACCTTAGCTGTAGCCAGCTGCAGTAAGTGCCTTCATACTTCATCTCTAGTTATACCACTGTCATCCAGTGCTACTTAGTTTAACACCATCCTACTCTGCTCTAAAACTTTTCTTTCCTCTTTTGTGAAGACATGTAATATTCTGAAGTTTCTCTCTCACTTCTGTTGTTCTCAGTGAATGACTCCACTTCTGTCCTCAGTTTTACCGTCTGTTCCTTAACTGTAATTTTTTCTCCTAGTGTGGTGAGAAGTAAATTTGGTTTGGTCTTTGCTTTATATGCAATGTCAATTTCTATTTGCATTTTTCATTTCCTTCTCACTCTGAGGTACTCATCCGTGACCCTCTTTTTATCTCTGTTATTCTTTTGTTCTTGTAGTTTTCTATGCTCTCATGCTTATGAAGTTTCCTTCCGCCATCCCTGAATTAATTTTGAGTTAGTCCTATGCCTTTCACTATCCTCCCTTTATACAGGAAGGAATTTGTCATCTGCTTTCTAGCATTTTTTGTGGGTCCCTCTCTCTTCAGTTTTATTTATTATAGTTGCTCATTTCATTTTACTGTTTCTATTTTATATGTCATTCAATCTTCTAGCTCCTGGTCTTTTTCCTAAACAGTGCATCTTCACTTCCACAAGACACTCGTATATATAGAGAGATTGCTCATTCCCAAGGGGACTTTGAAGTTGACTTCAATTATGTTTGAACTCAGTCAAAGCGAACATGAGATCAAGTCTGGCTGGTTCAGCATTACCTCTCGTTCTCGTAGCCCATTGACATGTTGGCATCAAATGGTTTTCATTGCTGCTTGGTAGCACTGTTCAATCATCTGGTTTTCGGTTTGTCTGCCTTTGAGCATCTATATATGGGGTGTTGTGTATAATTTTCATATATCTTCTGGGTATCCATCTGGCTTTGTTTTTGTTGGGGCTGTTGTTTTCTTTGTAATTGGCTTGTGTCCCAAGATCTTGGGATGGTATTCTATAGTAAACTGTCACCAGAGGACCATGGAAAAGGCATAGTAAATGGAGCCTATGCTAATCTGGCCAATTTCAGAATTGCACTTAAATTCATGCATGGAGAAATGTTAACAAAATAAAATGCTGTCCTCAACTTTTGTGGGACCTAAACTAGAATATGCAGTAGGTATGTGGTGTCTATATCAAAAAAGGGTACATTAATAAACTATAAAAGGTGCAGAGACATGCTACTAAATGGTTTCCAGACTTTAAACCTTAAAGATGTGAGGAGAGCTACCTACTATGTGGTGATTCCGAGGATCAACATCCCTGTGGCTCGGTCTTGACCAGGCCTCTTGATTGGTGGTCTGGTCAAACAGGCTGTTGGATCTTGCAGCCTGACATATGAATCACAGCCTGGTTGATCAGGTATCCTTTGGAGGTGTTTATCAAGTTCTTTCTTGAATACCATGAGAGACTGGCCAGTTATGCCCCTTTTATATAGAGGGAGTGTTGAAAAAGTCTTGAGTCTTTGATGGTGATAGTTCTCTCTCTGCATACCTGCTGCACCTCTGCATTTTAATGGGGCTATTTTACACATCCTGCCATGCCTACTGGTATTGTGTGATGCTATTTGTGTGTGCAAATTTGGACCCTGTCCTTCTAATATTTTCCGTTTGTAAATTAATGCATCTTTCTTGCCTGCTCTCCAGATAATACAAATTTAAAACTTTTAATTGGTCACAATTATTTAGAGGTTTTATGGAGCAGATTTTAGCAGTAAAGGATCTTTGCACACTATTCAGATCAGTAGCTCCTCCAGCTTTGAATGGGGCTTTTAGTGTGCAGTAGTATTCCACCCTAGAGTGCTAGTATCTTGAAAGTATCATCATTGGTATGGCATTCCTTGTTTGAAAGTTTCTTATTATCCAACCTGTCATTTTTCTTGCAGTCATGACAGGTACTTTATTATGTTCTTTAAAAGGTAAGGTCTTCAAACATGATTACTCTTAGATCCTTTACATTGCTTTTTCATTTTACAGCGTGATTTGATTGCATTTTGTTTACGGTTTCCATTTTTGTATTTTAATTTTTTCTATAGCACAGGAGCTGAATCTTATCTTCATTAAACATATTATTATATGACCCATTGAAAGACCTGATTAACATCAGATTGGAGGTTTGTTGTATCCTCAATATTGTCTACTCGCATAAAAACCCTAGTGTCATTTGCAAGTGATGATCTAGTAGTATAGTTTGCATCCTTGTCTGTGTCTGACATAAGGATGAGAAAAAGTACCAGAGTATGGTACCTTCGGGGACTGAGCTTTCACGGTGGATGATCTGGATTTTACTGTGTTGACAATTACACTCTGGGTTCTGTTCATTACGACGTTAAAAGAGCCATCTCTCTACTTTGCCAGGAGAGTACTGTAATTCTTTTTGAGCACATTTTGTGAGCAATAACACCATGGCCACATTTATTGAAATCTTTAGCAAAGTCTATGTATGTATGTTTCATCTGCTTTTTACTCGTCATCCATGGCACCTAAGGCCAAGTGAGAGTGATGTAGCAATTGTGAGAGCCAAGAGCACCCTGTTCTTAACCCATGTTGTCCAAGGTTATGTAGATGTTGTGATTTCATGTGATCTGCAATCTTAAACATAATCTTAATTCTTAGCACACTTTCAAAGACTTTTATGATGTGTGAAGTTAGAGCTATTGGTCTATACATTTTTGCATCTGCTTTACTACTTTGTGAAATGGCATTATCTCCGCTGTTTTAAGTATGTTGGAAATGACAATAGTATCTAGGCTCTGTCTCCAAAAGATGTCTGTGATAGTGGTGTTTTGCACTTCTTGATGAATTTAGAATTCCAGGAGTTTGGACCTGGTGCAGAGTGCATGCTGTCTATGGTTACTTCAAAGTCCAGTGGGGTTAGGGTGACATCTGATATATGGTACGATGTTGGTGTCACATTCATGAAGAATTCATTTGGATCATTAAAATTTAATGTGTTCAGGTGTTCACTGAAAACAGAACCGTATTGAAGCCTCAGAATTTCACTCATTTCTTTGTTATCTGTGGAAGTTCCATCACCTTTGCACAAGTACTACAATGCTGAATGTAGATTTTGTTCTAGTTTTTGCAAAGAAGGAAAAAAGTATTTTGGATTCCTCTCTCATTCACTTATGTTCTTTTGCTCTCTGCCTTTACTGGATTTTGTATTCTTGCAGCTTGAGCTTGATCATTTCTATTTCTTTGGAGGTTTTAAAATTGTTTAAAATTAATGGAGAAGAAAGAGGTGACATGATTACTACATCAGTTTTATCAAATTGTTATAATTATGTATAAGGAATTTTTTTTAAATAGCAACATTGAGTTCATGAATAACAATATTCAAGCTAAGAAAACAAAATGTGAAAAATGTACTTAACTCTTTTGAAGAGTTGTAAATAGGATAATATAAATAAGACCATTGGAAATTTCAAAATGTCATATAACCAAGAGTAGGGAAGCCAGTACACTCTCACTTTAATCCTTATCTTCTCACCAGGTACTATAGGTCAGGTAGTAGGCATGTTAAGATTGTCCCAGCTTGCAGGTTTGTCACTTGTAGATGAAAATGTCCCTTAATTCTGCTGTCTCAGAGTACTGCAGAATAGTTGTTCTAATCATTATGATCAGTTCACAAGCAACAGTCTTGTAAGCAATGATCATTTTGTGTACCTGTATCTGCAAGCAATTACTCCGTGGGGTGAAGAACTCTCCTCTTGTCAGAACCACCACCTGTGACAGTCATGCTATCATAAATCAAAAGTACAGTACATTTTACATTTGGCGAATGTAAAATAATACAGTATTTAATTTTTACTGTCATTCCAATGGAGTAGTGGTAAATCACTCGCCCGGCACTTCGCAAGCACTTTGGCCTGGGTTTGAATCCTGGTCGGGAAGGATTGACCGGGTGCCAATCCTTAACTGTAGCCTCTGTTCACCCAGCAGTGAATGGATACCTGGTTGTTAAACGATTTGGTGAGTTGTATTCCAGCGAAAAAAATAGGATTAAGGACCTGCCAGAACGCTATGCGTGCTAGTGGCTTTACAAGAATGTAAGATCTCTTGTATATATAAATTAAAAAAAAAACATGAGCCTTGCAATTCACATCATGCACAGTGTGTGTGTGTAATTACCTAAGTGTAGTTACAGGATGAGAGCTACGCTCATGGTGTCCCGTCTTCCCAGTACTCTGTCTTATAATGCTTTGAAACTACTGACGGTTTTGGGCTCCAACACCTTCTTGTTCTAACCGTCTACTACACTGTTAGCTTTTTTCTTGCAAAAGAAAACACAAAAAACACACTTTTCTTGCAAAAGAAAACTTTCTAATGTTTTTTCAGCACCTTTGTTTCCTTAGCTTGCATCGGTGTCCTCTTGTTCGTGAAGTTGCTGGTTTCAAGAATTCCTCTTAGTCAGTTTGGTTGATTCCTGTTAGTATTTTGTAAGTGGTGATCATATCGCCTTTTTCTTCCATCTTCTAGTTTTGACATATTTAACGACTCTATCCTCACCTTGTAACTCTTTGTTTTTCCCAAGGGGACTCTGAGTCCCGGAAGTAATTTTTTGGTATGCTTTTCCAGTTTCTTTATGTGCTTCTTGAGATTTGGGCACCATACAACTGCTGCATATTCCAATTTTGGTCTCACAAATGTCATGAACAGTTTTAGTATTTCACCATCCATATAATTATCACCATCCATATAAAGGGAGCCGGTCGGCCGAGCGAGGGAGCCGGTCGGCCGAGCGGACAGCACGCTGGACTTGTGATCCTGTGGTCCTGGGTTCGATCCCAGGCGCCGGCGAGAAACAATGGGCAGAGTTTCTTTCACCCTATGCCCCTGTTACCTAGCAGTAAAATAGGTACCTGGGTGTTAGTCAGCTGTCACGGGCTGCTTCCTGGGGGTGGAGGCCTGGTCGAGGACCGGGCCGCGGGGACACTAAAGCCCCGAAATCATCTCAAGATAACCTCAAGATAATTAAAAACAAGTCTGAAGTTGGAAAGCAACGCATACGCTCCTCTCACAATGTTCTTTGTGTTCTTCTGGCGACAGCTTACTATTCAAACCACCCCAAGGTCTCGGTTCTTTATTAGAGTTCTGTAATTCCTTTCCACATAATTTGTAAGTTGTATGTGGTCTATTTTCTCCGATTCCACATTCCATAACATGGCATTTATTCACATTGAATTCCATTTGCCATTTGAAGCTCCAAGCCCCTATTTTTGCTAAACCAATTTGAAGGGCATTACAATAGTCTGCATCTCCTATCTTCCCCAATATCTTAGCATCATCCATAAACATGTTCATATAATTCTGTATTCTTTGCCAAAATCAATTACTGTACCTAATCTTTGTATTCACAGCCTGAAGAACAGTTGAACATTCTTACTGCATATTTACGCTCTACCTACTGCTACTGTATATGGTGCTGCGCCGTATATGACGATGAACGAGACCTTAAGCAAAATTGCCCTGGACCTACAAGAGCAGATCATGATGATGATGATTAGTGCCTATGTATTAATAATTATAAATAACTACTGCATAAATGAGATGTCAAGTGTTGATACCAGAATAAATAAATGTTTTTCAATGTAAGTTGTAGGTTTTTTATGTAATTTTGATGTATGATATGTATATTGTCAATAAATTATGCAATGAATGGGCACTTTTTGAGATCACTCCAAAACTTGTGAAATATGTACAGTACTAGTATTTCTAAATATACATTCAATGAAAATCAGACTTTTCTGTTTTGTAATGAGGCAGGGTGTGGGATCCTATGGCATTCTGTTGCAGGATGTACAGTATAATAACAAACTGTGTTATTGGAGAGTATGATTGAGGCCTTTGTCAAATGTGTAACATGTGGGAAAAGAAAATATGGATTACACTATAAAAATTGCTTTACTGAGATTTTTCTCACTTTGCACGAAAGTTATAGTTACATGATGAGAGCTACGCTCGTGGGACTCTATCACACTGTTTTTGATTCTTCTATTTTGATATTTTCCTCTTCCTTTCATCTCATATTTTTCCAAGTTTGTACACATATTTGCCATAGTCCAAAATTTGCAAAATGCAGCTAATTTTGACTCCTTATACAACCTGAGTATACCATAATGCCCATCTCCACACAGTAACACATACTGAAACATTCATTGAACTCTATAACTTACATGAGTCATTATCATCCAGCTCTATAGTTTAAATAAAAATTCCACAGCTATGTTGTAAAAAATACTATTGGATTCTTACAGTAAACATTTTAATACCAGTACTGTATAACCATAATATAAGAATAAAGGTAACTGCAGAAGGCCTATTGGCTCATACGAGGCAGCTCCTATTTATAACCACCCAATCTCATTAATATAAATGTCTAACCTATACTTGAAACAATGAAGAGAGCCTACTTCTATTATGTTACGTGGTAATTGGTTCCGCAAATCAATCCTGTTACCAAACCAGTATTTACTCTGGTCTTTCCTAAATCTAAACATATCCAATTTATACCCATTGTTTCGTGTTCTGTCTTGTGTTGATACTTTTAATACCCTGTTAATATCCCCCTTGGTTGTGTCCATTCATCCACTTGTACACCTCTTATCATGTCACCGTAATTCTGCTCATCATTTCATATTTATATACAAGTGAATTGGACTCGCAGGCTCGTCATGAAGCTTGCCAACTTTTGTATATCACTTGTCAGTGGATGATCAGGAGCCTGTTAATATTAGAGTACAGTACTTCTTCCCCTTCTGATTACCCAGTATTGGGGTTAGCCTCCAACTTTGAACAGTGTCAGTCATTCTCTTATAGTAAAGATTATTTTTTTCATGAAAGCGCACTGTGATGGTGAATGTAACAATGTATGATTTCTTATTTCATGATACTAACTTCCAATTACTGTATTAGTAGTCATAACAGTTTTTTTTTTCTTTTCAATGACATTTTACATATTGATATTCTTTCCTCTCCCTTTCATCTCATATTTTTCCAAGTTTGTACACATATTTGCCATCGTCCATTCTCCATACTTCGTTTTCTAATGTGTCATCATTTACTAGGTATACTGTATTGGTTGTGGTGCATATTGTATGCCACATGCTGCACACTTCTCTTGACATTAATGTTTACATGTTTTATCCTGTTATATTGTATTTCAAATGTGGATTATCTGGTCACACACTATTGATACTAAACAAAAGTTAATAGATTACAGGTATAGTACCATATTACAAAACAATTTTGTATGTACCGTCGTGCATATGGCATGTGGGTGCAAGAGTGTATTATATTAAAATCAACATAAATGCAAATACAGTATAACTTTGAAGATGTATTTTAGATGTCATCTCTAAAACTGATAAATTATTTGAATTATTGCTAGTTTTGATTTCATTATCTTTCACTTGAGATTCTATTTTAACTTTGTTGTAGTAGACTGTGCAAATAACTTTGGTAAAATTTACAAGCACAGTCTAACATTGGATAGAAAACAGAGCAGTTTAAAGCTGTATATCTTACATTTGCATAAATTCTCCACTAATCAGTATTTTGCTATACATAAATTAAACATTTATACGGTACCTATATTGAATAGCATACAATAAAAATATCAGGAAATTGTGTACAAATCTGCAAGAATTTAAACTCTATATACAATCCCTTGAATGACCTATTTTCTACTGAATAAACAGGTAAAGCTAACAAGGTGTTTAATTTCTTCTAGAGGTGTACTGATACCAATATTTTTACAGAAAAAAAAATTAATGTAATGTATCAATGAGAAAATCAGTAGGAGCCATGAGGAGGATACAGACCTATGCTCTGGGTACTCTCAAGCAAATGCCTTATACCACTACACGTGAAAAGCAATGCAACCTGTTTGAGTCCCAGATTGCATTGCTTTTATCATGTCATGGTAGAGTGGTCTAAGGTGTTTGCTCGGGAGTACCCAGAGCATAGGGTCTAATCCTAATCATGGCTCCTATTAATTTTCTCAATATATTTACTATTACTGATACTGCCTTATTACCTGATTTTGATTCTTATATTCTTTAATTAAAAAGACCGATACCAATACAGTACAGTACTGTACTTAAAATTTCTGTAAGACAAATTGTGTACCACAATACCGTGGATAATAACATTTCATTCATTTCATTATCCACGGTATTGTGATTGACAATTTATGACTGGTGTGGATCACCTAACTCTCCTGTGCTTGAAGGGAAAGGCTTAAAGTTCATGATTGGTCAGTAGTTAGTTGCCTCTGGAGTCCTTCTGTATTGTGGCTAGCTCAGTAGCTCAGTAAATAGAGCAACCGTCTCCTGTGCTGGGGGTCGGGTGTTTGAGGATTCTAGTTCCCGGATGAGTTAAAAATTTCAAGATGTTAAAACTTAAGATATAATGTTTCTTGTGATTTCAGTCAGGATTGGTAAACAATGACATAAGAGTAGTAAACTGGCATTTCAGTAATTATAATAGTACATATATCGCTGCAACTATTCATGCAAATTCGATTCAAGGAAGCAATGTTAAATAGACTCTCCAGCACTGATTATTAACTCAAAATATTCTATTACAATTTTGCATAACTACCCAGTCTTGGAGGTGTTTGGGCCAAGATACCTTACATTCCTTAACATGTTAAATTTTAAACTTTGAATAGAACATTGAGCGTGTTGTAGGAGAATTGGATACCTCTTTGCACAATATACAATCTGCTGCAACACATTTAAGGTACCCTACTTATAACTTAAGCTGAGATGTGAGTCCAGAGCTGAAATTCAACCCATGGAAGAGCAATTACCCGAACATGAAGCAGGAGGGTATAGGGATGGGTTATGTGAAGCTTTAATAATTGCCTAATTGTGCTTGTTTAGGATGAGCTCTTTGGTCCCACCTCTCAGCCTTCAGTTAAATTTTCTGTCCTTGTCTGTTCAGTAAATGTTGTATATGAGGATAATATTTTAAATTTCTTCTCATTCAGGTGGCCTCAGTTTTAATTCTATGTTTTTTATTGTAAGTCATAGAACTTGGCTGTTCCTACAATGACTATTAATATGCTGCCCTTACACTCACCATACATCAGCTGCTTCTGCACTCGCCATATACTAACTGCCTTTACACTCACCATTCATAAGCTGCCTTTACACTCACCATTCATAAGCTGCCTTTACACTCACCATTCATAAGCTGCTCCTACAATCACCATACACAAGCTGCCCCTACACTCTATGCACCAGTTACCCCCATACACCAGCAGCTTCTATATTCACCACGCACCAGTTGCTCCTTCACTCTCCATACACCAGCAGCTTCTATATTCACCACGCACCAGCTGTGCCCCCCCCTACAATCAATATACACAAGCTGCTCCTATATTCACCACGCACCAGCTGTGCCCCCCCCCTACAATCAATATACACAAGCTGCTCCTATATTCACCACGCACCAGCTGTGCCCCCCCCCTACAATCAATATACACAAGCTGCTCCTATATTCACCACGCACCAGCTGTGCCTCCCCTACAATCACTATACACAAGCTGCCCCTAAACTCTCCATATACCAGCTGCCCCCTACAATTAGCATAATTCAGTAATGAGAATAGTAATGTTAACAATGATTTAATATATAAAGTTAAAGCAAGGTATACTGACTTTGTGTAAACCAATTATACAGTGAGGCCTGTTGTGAAGCAAGATTGTCTCTTTCAGCATAAATTAAGTTAATTTGTTATAATTCCCATATCATGGCGCCTAATTTTGATAATTACTGTACATATAATTACAGTTGTCGGGAGCAGAAAAGTGTACTTTTTGCTTGCATCGAGGACCTCCCTTCAGTCTTCCGACCTTACCCAGGATGCAACCCAAAACAGATGCGTAACTACCAGGGGTACCTGTTTACTGCTAGGTGAAAGGGCATCAGGCAAAAGAAAATATGCAGAACCATTTCTGTCTCGCCCTGGAACCGAACCAGGATTCCTGATTACGAGTCGAGAACGTATAAATTGATGTACTATAGGTTTACATCGGGGCTTGTGAGCCATGGTTGTCAGCCCATCTTCATAAACAATGGCTAATTGCTCGTTAACCCAATCACTAAATTCGATTTTTTTTAAATCACATGGACACACTCATGACTCACAAATGATTACCTTTGAGCGCTGCATAAACAGTGATTGTTGCCGCCGGAGGCAGCTAGTTAATTGTGCACCCCATACTCCTCCTGTGAGCAGTAGCGCAAAAAAGGTCGTTATCGGACCTCGACGGCGATTATTACATTAATAATTTCAACTATCTTTCACACCTTATAATTATAATGTCAGCTAGTTACAGAGAATGTTCTATTTCAATAACTATATATTTACAGTTAATCATTATACATTAATGGCAGGTTTTATCACATACATAATTGTTAGAGCTATGGAGATATTACAGTCATGGAGGAGCTGCTGTTTGTTATTAGTCTTCACAATACACTACTTCTTATTCTCATATGTTATTTATCTACTGGAAGCAAAATATGGATATAGTGCAAGGATTTCAGGATTTTTATCCATAGTAATAAGATGGTTTGCCGTTTCATACAACGTGAGTTTAGATTTATCTCTAAATTGGCTCAATTTTATTACACTTCAAGATATAAT